AAAAGCCCAGGTCTCGATGGGTTCACAGCCAAATTCTACCAGACATACAAAGAGGAGTTGGTACCGCTCCTTCTGAAACTATTCTAAACAATACAAAAAGAGGGAATCCTTCCCGAATCATTTTATGAGACCAACATTATCCTGATACCAAAACCTGGCAGAGACTCAACAAAAAAAGAAAACTTCAGGCCAATATCCATGATGAACATAGATGCAAAAATCTTCAATAAAATACTGGCAAACCAATTGCAACAGCACATCAAAAAGCTTATCCATCACGATCAAGTAGGCTTCATCCCAGGGATGCAAGGCTGGTTCATCACACCCAAGTCTGTAAATGTAATTCACCACATAAACAGAACCAAAGACAAAAACCACATGATCATCTCAACTGATGCAGAGAAGGCCTTTGACAAAATTCAACAGCCCTTTATGCTAAAAACTCTCAATAAACTAGTTATCGACAGAACATATCTCAAAATAATAAAAGATATTTACAACAAACCCATAGCCAATATCATACTGAATGGGCAAAAACTGGAAGCATTCCCTTTGAAATCTGGCACTAGGCAAGGATGTCCTCTCTCACCACTTCTATTCAATATAGTATTGGAAGTTCTAGCCAGAGCAATCGGGCAAGAAAAAGAAATAAAGGGTATTCAATTAGGAAAGGAGGAAATCAAATTGTCTCTATTTGCAGACGATACCACTGTATATTTAGAAGACCCGACTATCTCAGCCCAAAATCTCCTGAAACTGATAAGTAACTTCAGCAAAGTCTCAGGATATAAAATCAATGTGCAGAAATCACAAGCATTCCTATATACCAATAACACACTAAAAGAGAATTCCCATTCACAATTGCTACAAAGAGAATAAAATACCTAGGAATACAACTAACAAAGAATGTAAATAACCTCTTCAAGGAAAACTACAAACCACTGCTCAAGGAAATAAGAGAGGACACAAACAAATGGAGAAACATTCCATGCTCTTGGTTAGGAAGAATCAATATCATGAAAATGGCCATATTGCCCAAAGTAATTTACAGATTAAACACTACCGCATCAAGCTACCTATGACCCTCTCCACAGAACTTGGAAAAACCAGCTTAAACTTCATATGGGACCAAAAGAGAGCCTGCATAGCTAAGACAATACTAAGCAAAAAGAACAATGCTGGAGGCATCACACTACCAGACTTCAAACTATATTACAAGGCTACAGTAATCAAAACAGCTTGGTGCAGTGTTCACGCCAAGGGCCTTGAGACAGTTAGCGTGACTCGCCCCATCTTGGCGGCTGGACATATCTGCTCTCCCCCCACCTCTCGAGGGCTGTCGAGTTGAGGTAAAAATGGCTAAGCCACTGAGGCAAAAAACAGAATGCAGAGTAAGGGCCTGTGGTTTATGAGGACATTGTGCTGACTGCTTCATATCCCCTTTAGTCTCTGTGTAAGCAATAAGCTTGCTGCAATTGAGGTGCCTGAGAGGGGCAAAGACCCCTGCCATATTTTCTCAGGAGCTGAGCCTTTGCTCTACCTCCTGATGGAAAGCATAGTTAACAAGCCACCTTAAGGGAACCATTGTTTGCTTGCACTGTGTATCTTTGAAAAACATAGATTAACTCTTAAACTGCTTTGTGAGCTGTTATCACAAGCTCCTGATAACTATTTTTATGTGATTTCTGTTCCCTTTTCTGTTTGCCCCCTTTTCTGCTGAGCTAAAGTAAATATAACAAGAAAAAAGGTATAAAAGCTGTCACCTACAGAAATAAAGTTGCTGTTTGACTGCAAGTCACTCAGACCTCCAGACTCCACTTTCCTATCTTCTTTCACTTCCCCGCGCTCTCTCCCTCAGGTTGAACGAGACATCTACGTTGGTGGTCTCAGGGACTCCCGCAGGTCGGTAGCCCCCCGGCAGACGTGCAGGACCCCAACAGCTTGGTACTGGTACCAAAACAGAGATAGACCAATGGAACAGAACAGAGGCCTCAGGGGCAATGCCACACATCTACAACCATCTGACCTTTGACAAACCTGACAAAAACAAGCAATGGGGAAAGGATTCCCTGTTTAATAAATGGTATTGGGAAAACTGGCTAGTAGTGTGCAGAAAGCAGAAACTGGACCCCTTCCTGACACCTTACACTAAAATTAACTCCAGACGGATTAAAGACTTAAACATAAGACCTAACACCATATAAACCCTAGAAGAAAACCTAGGCAAAACCATTCAAGACATAGGTAAGGACTTCATGACTAAAACATCAAAAGCATTGGCAATAAAAGCCAAAATAGACAAATGGGACCTAATTAAACTCCAGAGCTTCTGCACAGCAAAAGAAACAATCATTAGAGTGAACCGGCAACCAACAGAATGGGAAAAAATTTTTGCAATCTACCCATCTGACAAAGAGCTAATATCCAGAATCTGCAAAGAACTAAAACAGATCTACAAGAAAAAAAACAAACAAACCCATTCAAAAGTGGGCAAAGGATATGAACATGCACTTTTCAAAAGAAGACATATATGTGACCTACAAACATATGAAAAAATGCTCATCATCACTGGTCATTAGAGAAATGCAAATCAAAACCACACTGAGATACCATCTCACATCGGTTAGAATGGCGATTATTAAAAAACCTGGAGAGGACAGATGCTGGAGAGGATGTGGAGAAATAGGAACACTTTTACACTGTTGGTGGGAGTGTAAATTAGTTCAACCATTGTGAGACAGTGTAGCACTTCCTTCAAGGACCTACAAATAGAAATTCCATTTGACCCAGCAATCCCATTACTGAGTATATATTCAAAGGATGATAAATCTTTCTATTATGAGTATATATCCAAAGGATGATAAATCTTTCTATTATAAAGACACATGCACACGTATGTTCACTGTGGCACTGTTTACAATAGCAAAGACCTGGATCCAACCCAAATGCCCATCAACAATAAACTGAACAAGGAAAATGTAGCACATATACACCATGGAATACTATGTAGCCATTAAAAAATGATAAGTTCATGTCCCTTGTAGGTACATAGATGAATCTGGAAACCATCATTCTCAGCAAACTGACACAAAAACATAAAATCAAACACTGCATGTTCTCACTCATAGGCAGGTATTGAACAATGAGAACACGTGGACACAGGCAGGGGAGCATCACACACTGGGGTCTGTTGTGGGGGAGAGGGGATGGACAATGGGGGTAGGGAGGTTAGGGAGGGATACCATGGGGAGAAATGCCAGATATAGGTGACGGGGATGGAGGCAGCAAACCACATTGCCATGTATGTACCTATGCAACAATTCTGCATGATCTGCACAGGTACCTCAGAATTTAAAGTACAATTAAAAAAAATATATATATATATACATATATTTTCATATATATATTTTTTTTCAAATATATATATGAAAGATTTTTAAAAGAAAAAAATACTTGGGAATTAGAGACGATAATTGCACAACAATGTGAATATACTAAGTGCCACTGAACTGCACAGTTTAAAATGGTTAGTTTTATGTTATATGAATTTTACTTCAATGAAAAAAAATTTTTAAGTGTACACAAAGCTCAGGATTACTTACAATATTTTTTAAATTGGCAAACTGGCTGGGTACAGTGGCTCACGCCTGTAATCCTAACACTTTGAGAGGCTGAAGTGGGAGGATTGCTTGAGTTCAGGAATTTGAGACCAGCCTGGTTGAGATAGCAAGCCCTGTCTCTATAAAAAATTTAAAAATTCGCTGGGCATGGAGGTGCACTCTGTACTCCCAGCTGCTCTGGAGGCTGAGGTGAGAGGATCACTTGAGGCTGGGAGACTGATGCTGCAATGAGTCATAATCCCCTAAGTGCACTCTAGCCTAAACAAGAGAGCAAGACCCCATCTTAAAAAAAATAACTGGGTGTGGTGGCTCATGCCTGTAATCCCAGCACTGTGGGAGGCTGAGGCAGGTGGATCACTTGAGCCTAGATGTTCAAGACCAGCCTGGACAACATGGTGAAACCCCATCTCTACAAAACATACAAAAGTCAGCCAGGTGTGGTGGCATGTGTGGAGAGTCCCAGCTACTAGGGAGGCTGAGGTGGGAGGATCGGTTGGGCCCAGGAGGTGGAGGCTGTAATGAGCTAAGATGGTGCCACTGCACTCCAGCCTGGGTGACAGAGTGAGACCCTACCTTAGAAAAAAAAATATATATATATTGCCAAATCATTTACTAAATGGTGGTATATTTTGACAATATATGCAATCATGAAAATATATTTTCAAATGACTGAATGAAAAAATATGAAATCATATTAATTTTTAAGAAGCCGAATGTTACAAAAATGGTATCTGAAGGCTTATTTTAAACTTAATCAGGATATGTATATAAAGCATGGAATTGTGTTTAAACAGACAAAAATATGAAAAGAAAAAAAAGATTAAAAGGCTATGTACCAAGCTCAGCAATGATTTTCAGCAGCTGGTGGTCAGCCTTTAGTTTTTCTTTTTAAAAACATTAATTTTTTTGTTAGTTTGAGACAGCCTCGCACTCTGTCACCCAGGCTGGAGTATAGCTCACTGCAGCCTCTAACGCCTGAGCTCAAGCAATTCCCCCACCTCGACCTGCTGAGTAGATGAGACTAAAGATAACCGCCACCACTCCTGGCTACTTGAAAAAAACAATTTTTTAAATAAAGATGGGGTTTCACTATACAAAAAGGTCTCACTTTGTCCAGGCTAGGCTCAAAGCAACCTTCCCACCTCGGCCTATCAGAATGCTAGGATTACAAGCATGAGTCACCACACCCAGCCTCATTTCCTCTTTTATACTATGTTGAAATATCTGAGCTTTCTACAAAAATAAAAAGTATTTGCTTTAATAGTTATATAAGTAATAATAAATATATTAAGAGATTTCCCAAACATCAGCATTTTCTTTCATTCCTCTTGCATTTGGCTCCACAAATACCTCACAGAATGAGAGCATCATTCTCCTTACCCAGTAGGGGAGTTGCTGGTCTGCCATGAAAGCTTTGGGACTAGGTTCAGTTTTGCCATTGCTAGTCCATACTTTTTTCCATGTAGTATATTTATCATATCCATCCTTATGGCTGAAAAACAAGAAAAATTAATATACCGAGCTGTAAGTCATCAGGTTTTCAAAATAGGAAGGTTAGTAAATCTTACGTAACAGACTTAACTAGCCTTGTTATAAAAGTAGAGGAAGTTATTATGGCACCCATAAAAAAGGCTGTCAGAAGGGGTATATTCTTGGCAGCTTTAGTATCTAAAACTAAGAAAGGCCTAGTATTATTTGAAGCAGAAATTAATTTTTTTTCTTTTTTTCTCCTCCTTGATACAGGGTCTAGCTATGTCACTCAGGCTGGAGTACGGTGACTCTTCACAGGGGCAATCACGAATCAGGGTGCGCTGTAACCTCAAACTCCTAGGCTATAGAGATCCTTCTGCCTCAGGCTTCCAAGTAGCTGGAACTGGCTCAGAATACATATATATTGAGATGGAGTCTCACTCCGTCACCCAGGCTGCAGTATAATTGCGCAATCCTTGCTCATTGTAACCTCCACCTCCCGGGTTCAAGGGATTCTTGTGCCTCAGCCTCCCAAGTGGCTGGGATTACAAGCACCTGCCACCACGCCTGGCTAACTTTTGTGGTTTTTAGTAGACACGAGGTTTCATCATGTTGGCCAGGCTGGTCCGGAATGCCTAACCTCAAGCAATCTGCCCACCTCAACCTCCCAAAGGGCTGGGATTATAGGGATGAGCCACCACGCCTGGCCTAGAATATTTTTTAATGTACGTAGTAAATCCTAGGGCAGTCATTAAAAACTACATCAGCAGATGAAATACAATACGATCATAAAAATGCTCAATTAAAATCGGAAGGCAGAAAAAGGAGAAAAATAAAAGGCACCATATGGAAAACAGCTGGAAAGATATTTCAATCCAGTTAAATCAACAATCACTTAAAACATGAATAGCATAAACATATAGATTAAAAGACAGACTGTAAGTGGAATTACAAAAAAAAATATATGTGTAAACGAGAAATCTCCTCTAGGCCGGGCATGACAGCTCACATCTGTAATGCCAGCACTTTGGGAGGACAAGGCAGGAGGATCACTTGAAGTGAGAAGTTTCTAGACCAGCCTGTCCAACATGGGGAAACCCAGTCTCTATTAAAAATACAAAAATTAGCTGGGTGTCATGGCACACACCTGTAATCCCAGCTACCTGGGAGGCTGAGGCACCAGAATCACTTGAATCCAGGAGGTGGAGGGTACAGTAAGCCAAGATCATGCCACTGCTCTGCAGCCTGGGCAACAGAGCGAGACCCTGTCTCAAAAAACAAAGAAAAGAGAAGAAAAGAAACCTACTCTAAATACAAAGACTCAGAAAGGTAAAAAGAAACGAAGGAAGGTGTATCATGCTAACATTAAAAAAAGTTGAAGCAGCCACATTAATGTGAATAACGACTATTATCAAGGATAAGAAGACAAGGGATATTACATAAAGGGGTCAGTTTTGAGAAAATCCACCACAATGTCAGATGTACAATGCAACAACAAAGATCATGACAGCTGGGTGCGGTGACTCATGCCTATAATCCCAGCACTTCGGGAGGCCGAGGCAGGCGGATCACCTGAGGTCAGGAGTTCAAGACCAGTCTTGCCAACATAGCAAAATCCCGTCTCTACTAATACAAAAATTAGTCAGGTGTGGTGGCCCATGCCTGTAATCCCAGCTACTTGGGACGTTGAGGCAGGAGAATTGCTTGAACCCAGGAAATGGAAGTTGCAGTGAGTCGAGATCACACCACTGCACTCCAGCCTGGGTGACAGAGCAAGACTTCATCTCAAGAAAAAAAAAATACCTAAGGTAAAAATGTATAGAACTGAAAGGAAAGATAAACATATCTGCATTACAGTTGGAAATGTCAAGAGACTATTATAACTGCAGACTTTAAGATACTTTTCTTAGTAACTGGAAGATCAGGTAGGAGTCCATCAGAAAGGTGTATATGTACACATATACATATACGTATACATATACAAATACATATACATATACATCCTGAACTGCACTATCAATCAACTTGGTCTAGTTGACACCGATAGACCATTCCACCTGACAATGGTAAAATACACATTTTCTCCACTTCATGTGGAACATTTACCAAGGTACACTGCATTATGGGCTATAAAGCAAACTTTGTCAAATTTAAAACATAAAAATCATACAAAGTACATTCTCAGACCATTACCAAACTAACTAGAAATCAATAACAGAAAAATTGCTAGAGGTGTCCCAAATATTTGGAAATTAAACAATTTACTTCTAAATAGCCTATGGGTTAAAGAGGAAAACCCAATGAAAATTTAAAAATATTTTGAACTAAATGAAAATGAAAGTTGGCAAAACTTCTGAACTATCACAACCTGCTTAGAGGGAAATTTACAGCATTTAAAAATGCATTTATTGGAAAAGAATGAAGATCTGAAAATCAATAATTTCAGCTGCTGAGGAAACTAGAGAAATAAGAAAAATTTAAACCTAAAGCAAGCACAATAAAAATCAGAGCACACACACACACACACACACACACACACACACACACACAGTAACAGCACAAATGAATTAAGTTGAAAACAATAAAATAACTCAACATCTAGATGTTCCAGAACTTTCAGACTGAAGAAAATACTAGAGGCCGGGCGCAGTGGCTCATACCTGTAATCCCAGCACTTTGGGAGGCCGAGGCAGGCAGATCATTTGACCCCAGAAGTTCAAGACCAGCCTGGCCAACATGGTGAGACCCCCAGCTCTACTAAAACTACATAAATTAGCTGGGCGTGGTTGCACACGCCTGTAATCCAGCTACTTGGGAGGTTGAGGCACGAGAATCGCCTGAACCCAGGAGTCGGAGGTTGCAGTGAGCTGAGATTATGTCTCTACACTCCAGCCTGGGTGAGACCCTAGTCTCGAAAAAAAAAAAACTGTTTCATGGCAGATATTTTTTGATCCCTGAGTGTGCACCCACATAAACATGCACATACACAAACTAAAGCACTAAAGTTCTTGTCCAAGTTACAGTCATTACAGGCACGGCTGAAAGAGCTGAATAATTCAGTAAGCCTAGGGACTCAGCCTCAATCAGCTGACCACACACACTGCCCTTGCCACAGTCCCCACCTCCAGAGAAACCTCATACAATTAGTGAACATACCTTCTGTAGTAATGGTCAAAGCATTCATTGCAGAAATGTTCCCCACAGGAGAGGTGATACCATCGGGAGGTGTAGCCATTTTTGGCACATCTGAAAATAGTGAAAAACATGTAGCTTTGGTAATGAATAAACATTTCTCCTCCCACTTTTTAAGAAACATCTTGCAAGTACCATCTATGACCCCAATTTGCAGTATCTCCACTTATCTCCCTAACGACAGGGGAAACAAGAATGGATTACTAGCAGATAATAACACACAGCAAGGATGCAGGGACTTAGACCCTGGGACCTAATCTAGCTGACTGCCTGGGGCTTAGGAGTCTTAGGAAGACTCCTTGGGGCAATGATACAGTTTTATGACACAAAAGGACAGACACCACTGTGCTTGCTGTAGGCTGCATATGTGGGCAGGAGAGAAGTAATAACATAGGGCCCAGCAAGGGAATGTGGTCAGCTGCAATCTGAACATCAAGCAGGCACTTTGGCAAAGATAACTTGTCAAACAGTTGATAACATAGCAAGAGAATGAAAAATCATTCCACTATGAACATGACTATGTCTTTGTTATTATTATTTTTGAAATGGAGTCTCGCTGTCACCCAGGCTAGAGTACCGTAGCATGATCTTGCCTCATTGCAACCTCCACCTCCCAGGGTTCAAGCAATTCTCATCATGCCTCAGCCTCCTGAGTAGCGGGGATTAGAGGCATCCACCAACCGCCAAGCTAATTTTTCTATTTTTAGTAGAGATGGAGTTTCACCACATTGGCCAGGCCAATCTCAAACTCCTGACTTCAAGCGATCCGCCCGCCTTGGCTTCCCAAAATGCTGAGATTACAGGCATGAGCCACCGTGCCCAGCCCTCTTTGTGTTTAAAAACAAATAGGATTGGTTTTCTAGGTGTTATTGAATCTTAACCCTTATTGAAGATTTTCCTCTGGAAGTAAAAAAGAAAAAAAAGTGTCATACTTCTGTCACCCCACAATAAAAATGGCAAGGCTGAAGTTAGCTGTAGTTTCTAGGAGACCCGTACGTGTGTATGGGAAGAGACGGCATGTTATATACGGGAGAAAGGTACAACGAAAAGTAAACCAACACTGGTCTCTACAGAGAGCTCACGAGTTCTCTCTACTGCCTCACCACTACATGTGCCATCCCACCCTCAACCATCAAGAAGGTAGATACAGTTGGTTGGATTTGAGGACACTGTGTTACAAAGTTGACATGGGTGTGGCATCTCCCAGCAGGCTAGAAGTAACAGAGGGAGGGCCTCAAGGAGGGTGTAATGTGTACAGAATGTCTGAGCAATGTCTCTATTATTAGATTAGACGACTTAGAGTAGCCATAGCTATCTTTAGGGAAAAGATGATGTTTCTATAAAGAACTTCTCACAGACAGAAACGGGAGGCCAAGACGCACATCTACACAAACCTTTCAGAAGCACTTGCAAAGCACACAGGATATGTCGCTGTGCAGCCTGCCTTTTCACATTTCCTGTACTTCTTCTCTGATCCACCATCTTCATCCTCATCTGTCGTCTCTGTTGCTTTCTTCTTCGCCTAAGAGAGTCACAGCTGACATTAAAATTTCACTGATGATGGCAAAATGACTAAGGATGAAGGTTCACTACTGAAATCACATCTGAGTTCTAAGCAAGAGGTCAAAAACATCCTGGCAATAGGTTAGGGATGACAAGACAGCAATTTCCTGGTGGCTGCATTGAGCAAGTAATTCACAAACTTGCTAGAGATATAGAACTAGCAGTTTTTTCTTCTTTTTTAAGACAGAGTCTTGCCCTGTCACCCAGGCTGGAGTGCAACAGTGAGATCTTGGCTCACTGCAACCTTGGCCTCCCAGGTTCAAGCTATTCTCCTGCCTAAGCCTCCTGAAAAGGTGGGATTACAGGTGTGCGCCACCATGCCTGGCTAATTTTTCGTATCTTTAGTAGAGTCGTGGTTTCACGATGTTGGCCAGGCTGGTCTCGAACTCCCGATCTCGTGATCCACCTGCCTCGGCCTCCCAAAGTGCTGAGATTACAGACATGAGCCACTGCACCTGGCCAGAAGTAGCATTTTCACAACAGATGACTAAGCAAAGAACTAAAATTCATGAGTCTTTCTTAGAAAAAAATTACATCAGCTGGGTGCGGTGGCTCACGCCTATAATCCCCAGCACTTTGGGAGGCTGAGGTGGGAGGATCACTTAAGCTCAGGAGTCTGACACCGCCTGGGCAACATAGCAAGACCTCGGATCTACTAAAAATAAGAAAATCAACAAGGTATTGTGGCACACACAATTGTGTCACTGTACTCCAGCCTGGGGTACAGAGGAGATTGTCTCAAAAAAAAAAAAAAAAAAAGTGGCCAGGTACAGTGGTTCACACTGGTAATCCCAGCACTTTGGGAGGCTGAGGCAGGTGGACTACCTGAGGTCAGGAGTTCGAGACCATCCTGGCCAACATGGCAAAACCCTGTCTCTACTAAAAGTACAAAAAAAAGAAAAATTAGCTGGGCATGGTGACATGTGCCTGTAATCCCAGCTACTTGGGAGGCTGAGGCAGGAGAATCACTTGAACCCGGGAAGTGGAGGTTGCAGTTAGGTGAGATGATGCCACTGCACTCCAGCCTGGGCAACAAGAGCAAAACTCCACCTCAAAAAAAAAAATGTGACATCATTCAAAAGAAACAACTCATTCCCCAAATTAAGATTTTTTTTTTCTTTCTTTACTTAGAGCAGTTACATCCTCTAAGTATTTTAGATAAAAAGCTAGAAAAAAATGCTGGGCACAGTGGCTGACACCTGTAACCCTAGCACTTTGGGAGGCCGAGGTGGGCAGATCACCTGAGGTTGGGAGTTCGAAACCAGCCTCACCAACATGGAGAAATCCCATCTCTACTAAAAATACAAAATTAGCTGCTTGTGGTGGCTCATGACTACAATCCCAGCTACTTAGGAGGCTGAGGCAGGAGAATCACTTGAACCCAAGAGGCGGAGGTTGTGCCGAGCTGAGATTGTGCCATTGCACTCCAGCCTGGGCAACAAGAGTAAAACTGTCTCAAAAGGAAAAAAAAAAGCTAGAAAAATTATAAAGAAAGAATTACATGGTTCAATTTTTTCTTTTAAAAGAATTAAAGCCCTACCCAAAAAGCCCTATACATAACCCTTCAATAGCACTCAACCAATTACAAGCTGAAATCCAAATTCCTGTGAATAACATCCAAGCCAGGCATGATCTGGCCCCAGCCTCACTCTTTGGAAACAACCACATAACCGTGATTCTCTGAACATCCTATGCTGATTCACACTCTACGCCTTTATACTTACAGTTCCATCTCCAGATAATGCTTCTATTTTCTATATTCTATCATGTTATCACACTGTGTTATGACTGCACTGTGAATTTTTCCACTAGAATGCAAGTAACTTGATGACTGGAGTCGTCTTTGCAACTCCAGTTCTCCAGTCCCAATCAGTAATTCCGCATGCTCAAAAAAAGGTTCACTGAATGAATAAATGAACACTACCTGCCTCCCGGAGCTCCTTAAAGGAAGGCTATCTGGAGAGTGATCAAAAGGTGCTTTTTTCTTTGTCCTCCCCCGTGGGGTTGCCATTACATTAAATAATCTGCAAAAGAAAAATCAGACATTACATATTGGCACCTGCAAATATTTTTAACAGTCTGGAACAAAGTTATTACATACTTTATGTCACATAATATATGTTATAACATAACATATAATATGTTAATACCATAACATATGTTATTACTACATACATATGTTAGACAGCCTAAACATAAAGCTACAATTTTCTTTCTTTCTTTTTTTTTTTTGAGACATTCTCACCATGTTACCCAGGCTAGCCTGGAACTACTGGGCTCAAGCGATTCTCCCACTTCAGCTCCAAGTAGTTAGTTGGGCATACAGGTGCATGCCACCACACCACCTGGCTCAAGCCACTATTTTCAAGTTACTTAACCTCTCTAAGCCTCAGTGTTCTCATACATAAAATGGGCACTGTAAAAGTTTACTGTCGCACTGGAGTGAAGTTTAAACAAGATAACCTATTTAAAGCACTAAAATCGGCATAAGCACTCAAATATTACCTATTAGTAGCTATGTACATTAAAAAATATAAAATGAGAAGTATGTTACATTAATGACCAATAAACAAATTACACCATGTTTATAAAATTGAAAACGAGGAAAACGCCTAGTTTTATCTCTGCTCCTCTCCACTTTACTGCATCTTCTGAGCAGTTCCTGTACTTTGATCTCCTATTATGCTTTAAAAAGAAAACTCCTGGCCAGGTACAGTGGCTCACACCTGTAATCCCAGCACTTTGGGAGGCCAAGGTGGGCAGATCACGAGCTCAGGAGTTAGAGACCAGCCTGACCAACATAGTTAAACCCCATCTCTACTAAAAATACAAAAATTAGCCAAGCATGGCGGCGGGCGCCTGTAATCCCAGCTATTCAGGAGGCTGAGGCAGGGCAATCACTTCAATGGGGGAGGTGGAGGTTGCAGTGAGCCAAAATCACACCACTGCACTCCAGCGTGGGCGACAAAGTGAGAGTCTGCCTCAAAAAAAAAAAAAAAAAAAAAAAAGAAAGAAAGCTCATTAATTCCTTCTTAGTACAACGCAACAAATACCAAGCAAACTATCTAGTCACTACTGAATATACAGATCTAAATTAGAACCACTGGCACCTTCTACTGGAAAAAGTTTCTCTAACTGGTCCATGAACAGTATGGTTAAACATTAAGAACCAAAGTCTACAAGAGAAATAATGTGGAACAGCATGAAAGATTAACAGCTAACAGAATTCTTTTCAATTACATTAGATAAGGAATAAAAAATGCTTAGCATAAGTACTCAGTAATATATAGAATCTGTAATTATCCTTCACCTTCTTCCTTGATCCATTGGATTTAACTACACATACACAAAACGGTAAATCAAAAGTAGGTAGGAGATGCCTACGGATAAAGAAAGTTCTTACGTACTTTATGTATGTAATGACATGCATTTTCCCATTTGAAAGTGGAAAAGTGGAACCATAAAATACAAATTCCACATATATAATCTTAGTCTTGGAGAGAAGCTTTAAGGAGCTTGCAATCCTATTGCTTCATCTGTAAGATGTATTAACATTTGTAAGAGTATTTTCCATGGATTAACATTCGATGGGAAAACTCATCGTGCCATTTACACTGACTCTGAGACATCTTGACATCAATGTTACAGATGATTTTCCTTTGACTTCATCTTCCCCTTCTCTGAACCAATGGATGTTACAGTAGCTGTGAAGACCTAAACCCTATTCTGAAATGCATTCTAGCTCTTTGAGCATTAAACTGCCATTTAGTTCTACAGCATCTATTATACTGTTAGATAAAATGTTAGTAAGTTGAAAGTACTATCTACCTATAATTGTTAAACCCAAAGAAGGCTCTCTGGATTCTCTATTTTAAGAAGGCTGTCCACTCTAACCAATGTCTTCATATACACATATAAATATTAATTCTTCTATGTAAATAATCTCTTCATTTATATATAAAATACACCTGACATTATTCATAACATGAACCACAAAGACAGTAGATGCAAACATATAATATATATAGTATTTGTAAATGTATAGTACATGAAAGTATTATAGCAAAAATATCTCAAGTCAAATGCGGGGTTTAGGAACATAAATGAAACCAGCCTAGGTTCATGCAACATTTGACCCTGTCACTTGGGAATTTGTGCATTCTCAACAGAAAGCATAGTTTCCTGAAATTTCATCCAACATTTTAATCTAATTGAATACTAGAAAATATGTACTTAAGGCCGGGCGCGGTGGCTCACGCCTATAATCCCAGCACTTTGGGAGGCTGAGGTGGGTGGATCACGAGGTCAAGCGATCGAAACCATCCTGGTCAACAAGGTGAAACCCCATCTCTACTAAAAATACAAAAATTAGCTGGGCATGGTGGTGCACGCCTGTAATCCCAGCTACTCGGGAGGCTGAGGCAGGAGAATTGCTTGAACCCAGAAGGCGGAGGTTGCGTGCCATTGCATTCCAGTCTAGGTAACAACAGCAAAACTCCATCTCAAAAAAAAAAAGAAAAGAAAATATGTACTTAATGCAACAAATAATTAAATTCAAGAGATGGTTAACAAGGAAATGAAAACATGAGCTATAAAAGCCATTATGAAGTCTAATTGACGGTTTTCATGGTAGTACATTTTCAGCTTTAATTACACAACTGAGGATTATGTGAATCCGTTCTAAGTATTTTTGGCACTTAATGTATTTATATATTTCTACTGTTGCTGGGTCCTTAGGTCTTAAAATGAAGAAAAAAAAATTTAGTATACTGTTTTCTCTCGATTTTTTCAAATTAATAACCACACCTAAATATAATCAATTTGTTTCATGCTCAACATTATACACATATTTCTAATTTTTAACTCAAGCATTTAAAATTTGGCTTTGGTTTTCTTTTAATGTAATAAGAAAAAAGCGGGATTTTTTTGGTAAATATGTAAGTGGATATATCAATATGTAGATTTATTTTAATAACTCTAGGTTCTTCTGAAGCAGCTTATTCAAAACGGTTTTGTTTTGTTTTTGAGACTGAGTCTTCCTCCCCCAGCCTGGAGTGCAGTGGCGCCATCTTGGCTCACTACAACCTCCACCTCCCAGGTTCAAGCAATTCTTCTGCCTCAACCTCCCGAGTAGCTGGGATTACAGGTGTGCTCCACCACACCGGCTACTTTTTGTATTTTTAGTGCAGATGCGGTTTCACCATGTTGACCAGGCTGGTCTCAAACTACTCCTGACCTCAAGTGATCCGCTCACCTCGGCCTCCCAAAGTGCTGGGATTACAGGCCTGAGCCACCATGCCGGGCCTCAAAAAGATGCTAAAGAAACACATAGAATTCATACAAATATGAATCAAAAGGGCCAGTTTAGAATAAAAATTTATAGTGGGGTGCATACAATTTCTAAATATAAGACAAACTACTAGAAACTTCTTCAGAGACAACAGAAACAGTAATTTCCCTTCGAGACACTTAAACGGAACTAGTACCTTATTACTCCCACACGAATCAGATCTTCAGAAATAGGGATCCAGTATAATAATTCAATATTGAATTATTCAGCATTCAACGTACAGTTCAATGATTCAGTATTAAATTCCCCAACTGCCTAGATGTCTTTTGTTGACTACTTTCTCTGCCTGGAAGACAATTAATTATTGATGATAATTTTCTCATGTACCTCCTGAAGAAGGCTTCTCTCCCACTCGCCTTTCTGCCACTAAAATAGATTTAAAATCACACAACAAAACTGGCCAAAGCCTTGCGTTATGTGTGTGTGTGTGTGTGTGTGTGTGTGTATACACATATACATATATATGTGGTGTGGAGGGGGCTCCCCAACTGGAGTGGACTGGGGAGCCCCTCAGGCTTACCCAAGGGAAGACTGGGCCTCTGGCTGGGTTCCACATCACTGAACCCCAATTTTCTACAGCTGATCTACCTCTTCCTCTTTCACCTGTCAGCTGGCGAGCCGTTGATTAACAGCTACCCTAATCGGGCCACCCCTCCTCCAGGTCTCCAATCCCAGAGGAGTTACCCCAGCAACCTGGCAATGCTCCTCAAGTCTCAACGAGCCGCGGCTGTGCCAGAGGATTAACTACAGCACCTGCAAGGCTGTGCCGGCTCCCGGCCGCACCCTATCGGCCGGGAAGAACCAGCGAGGGAGTTCCTACTCCAGGACCGTGGGGTCCTCCCGCGGCTCTGACAGCCCCCAGGAGGGAGCCCCAAACTCCCGGTGCCAGCTGCAGCCGCCTCGCTTTCCGAAAAGCTTTCGGATGCTTTTCGAAGTCGGAGAAGCAACAGTCCCGGGGCTCACCTTTGCGCTGAGGAGGTGCCGGGAGTCTCGGGGAAAAGGCACAGCTGTACAGAAAGGAAACGTTGTAGGGGGGTTAGGAGACCGGCAACATCGCGGCGAATCCCGCGACCCCACCGCCCCAACACCCAGCCCAGGAATTCCCCCTTCTCCAGACAGATACCCACCCCGCACCCTCTTCCAAGCCGGGGCAGGAGGAATCCGTCCCTGGGGCACCCGCCCACCTCCCACCAGGACGAGGGGCCATGCATAGGGAGAGAGGAAGGGCTTGCACCCCAAACAAGCTGCTTTGTGCAACGCTGTCACCCGAAATCCGCCACCGCCCCCACGCACACCCCCGGAGTGGCGAGCCTCCCACCTCTGAGCGCCGGCGAGGCTGTGCGCGCTGCCCAGGATTGCAGGCGCCTCTCCGGAGCCGCGCGCCGCGCGCACAGGACGGCAGGAGCCGCGCCGCGAGCCCCAGGCTCCTCTCGGCCGCCGCCACCGCCGCCGCCGCTTCCGCCCCTGTCACGGCGTGACCCGGGGTGGGAGGAGCCGGCGGGACCAGGGATGGGTTGGGTCCCCGCCTTCGCTTTAGCCGCGGCGCTCGCTCCGCCCTGCCCATTTCCGCCGCTGCGCAAACCCGGCGCCTGGGGAAGAGGGCGGAGTCTGTGCAACAAGGTACGGGGCGGGCGTGGAGACGGGGTGCGGGGGAGGGGCCGGGAACTGAGGAGGACGCGGGCGAAGGCGGGGCGCGGCAAAGAGGCGGGGCGCGGGAAAAGAGGCGGGGCGGGGGCAGAGAGGTGACGGAGGCGGGAGGTACCCGCCCCTGTGGACCACGGCCTTGGCAGAGAGTTACCGCCCCTGGGGAGGTTGGCGGTGGCTGAGGCAAGGGCAGGCGACCCGCCGTAAAAGAGGTAGGCTCCCCAGGGCTCAGAGGGTGCGGGTGAGAAACTGAACCATATGCTGGGAGTGTATGCGCCTGTGCTAGGACTCCCGGGAATCCTTACAAGCATGGACAGCCCGGCGATCGGCCCTATGAAGTGAGGTTCAGAAAGCAGAGGGGAAACGGAATAACCACGACGGGCTGTAAAAGACCTGAATCCAAGGTCCAGGATTTAAAGTGCCTCCAAAGCATTGCTGTGTTTTAGCGATGTTTTTTTCTTCCTTTTTTTCTTTTAGAGGCAGGGTCTCCCTCTGTGGCCCAGGCTAGTGTGCAGTGGCACAATCATAGCTCACTGTAACCTGGAACTCCTGGGCTCAAGTGATCCTCCCTCCCCAGCCTCCCCAGTAACTGGGACTATAGGCTCCCTGCACCATGCTTGGCTAATTTTTCAGATTTCTATATTACAGAAAGGAGCTTTCGGTTTTTTTCCCCAGCGTGGTGTATTAATGATTTTTAGGAAGAGAGAAGTACTGGCAAATAGTGAGTGATTCCCTGGTGATGTGGGAACCTGCGGTGCTATAAATATTCTATCTCTTGCTCTGCGGTGGTTACACAGGTGTATGCCTATGAAAAAAAAAATTCACCGAGTCACACTCTTTTAAGATTTGTGGAATTTAGGGAAGTTTCTCTTCAATTTAACGAAAAAATAAAACCAAAGCAGAAACTTTTGAAAAGGTGAGAACAGAGACTAAAACAACTTGAAGACTTAGAGCACCAAAGGAGCACATCTACACTTTCTGTTTGTGAGCAAGAATTATTGTAAAGTTTCCCTTCCTTAATTCTTGTCATGTGCACTTTTTTTGTTATAGAAACAAACTTTATTTCTCCAGAAATGGTGTGTACAAGTGGAGTCTGTGCTGAGAAATTGTTAGAACAGCTAAGACGTTTAGCTCAAGAGTTTGAGACCAGCCTAGGTAACATCGCGAGACCCTGTCTCCACAAAATATTTAAAAACTAGCCATGCATGGTGGCGCACCCCTGTAGTCCCAGGTACTCAGGAGGTTGAAGTGGGAGGATCCCTTGAGCCCCAGTGTTGGCGATGGTAGTGTCATTGCACCACTGCACTCCAGCTGGGGGATAGAGGGACACCCCGTCTCAAAAACAAACAACTAAGATGTGATTAAGTTACGCACATGATTTTGTTATTCACTTAGTTCAGGTTTGTGTGAAAGGAATAGAGTTGTGCTTCTCCAGGCTGCTGCGGCTTTATGATAAAGATTATGCTTCTCTTTTGAGTAGAGAAGTGTTTTATGAAACCTTGAATTTAGGTTCCGGAGTTTCTGAATGAAAATGAAGATGAGAACACTGCAACATTCTTTTGTTTTTCTGTACCCAATATAAATCAGATACTTTCTGTTGACCTCTCAGAAAAGTCGGAGAGTCACCTCCTGATACCATCAGGGTCTTGCAAAAGCCATTTCTACAAATGTTTGCTAAGAAGTGAATTTCATGTTTCCAAGTAATGAGAGAAATACCTCCTCCTATATCCTAAGCATACTGAGGTCAAATTTGGCAATGAAAGGGGAAATTTTCCTGAAATATGTGCTTTTATGCAGTGTTTGCTATTTCACAGATGGATCATTAAATAGACCAATCAATAATAGCATGCTAGTATAATCCAAACTAGTTTCACTAATGATTTAAAGGGAATGTTAGAATTATGGTGTTATATTGTCCTTAATATTGCAAAGTTGACATTGAAAGGACAGATGTTTTCCTCATACATTCAGATGGATCTGCAGTTATGGCCTGACAGCTGAGGAATGAGAAGTTCATAATTTACAAAGGAGAACTCTATTTCTCATAAATGGTTTCAGACTGTAAGGTAGCCATTCTGACTGGCTAAGCAGTGTAGCCTCCAGCCAGAAGCCAGAAACTGACACTTCCAGGGACAGGCAAAGGGAACCAGAATTTATGCTGAGGAAGGTGGCCAAATATACATATTCAGTAAGCTGTAGGATGACTCATGAATATTTATGAAAGGAGGAAAGGTACCCATATGTAGCATGCACAAAAAATGGCGGTGTTAGCACAGTCAGAGGATGGAGTTTTTGACCCTCCTACCTCAAAAGGTGAAGCAGAGGACAGAAAAAAAAAAACCCTTACTGTGCATTCTCAATAGACTGGCCAGAACCACTCTGGTCTGTGATGCCTATCAGGCACAAAAGGAGGAGCAGCATCTAGGGGTTGGTTGATTCCAGAGGTACGATCTTTTGAAAGGACTCGTTTCTGTTAAGCCCTTAGGGAACAAAGTCTAATTGTGGTTAGCAAGAGAAGAGGTACAGAGTTGTATCTGACGCTCTATCTGCTCTTGGCCCAGAACCCAGTTTTCAAGGTTATTCTGCAGTCCCGTTAGCCAAGAAAGCATACAGTGAGTTGAGATCGTGCCACTGCACTCCAGCCTGGGCAACAAGAGCAAAACTCCATCTCAAAAAAAAAAAAAAGAAAAGAAAGTGTGCTTTCAACCAGTTGAGAGGCTTTGAATTTTATTGGTGGTTTGCATTCTACATGTCTTTTTTCAGTTTCCCTAGTGTGCATTTCCCATGCAAAATAAGAAGCTATAGAAAATTATTTGAAAATACAAATGTATTGAGTAGAGATAGGATATTGAACCACAGTTCAGTATCTACTTTAATTTGTTTTTGCTCCCTCCTGAAAATAACAGGATTGTTTTTTAAGGCATAAAGTATTAAGATAGCAGGGACAGGAGAGACAGAATTAATAAAATTTTGGAAAGTCAAATAGATGAGTGAGAAAGGATTTTGCAACTTCAAGGAAGCTGACTTCTAAACCAGCAATGAGGAAAGCCATTGAGCAGTTCAGTTCTCATTACAGAATCCCCAGATGCTCAGGATTAGCACCATGACAGTACCTCCATGAAGTGTGAGAGTATGGTTGAAACAAGGAGGATTGTTTGAAATGCTAGTTCAGAACAGGCTAAGTCTCCCGATCCCTTTCTCAATTTCTTGCAGCCAGGTGTGTACTTCTCACCACACCAACAGGCTTTTGGGAGTTTATTCTCTGGAAAGGATAAAACAGAGAGTGTCCAGATTGAGAAGATGTAATACACAGTTAAGCGTGGGAGTATTCAGAAAACAGGAGGATTAATTGAATACAGAAAACTGGATGCTGGGACCCTCACCCACTTCTCTTCTTCTTTTCCTGTATGAGTATGTAACAGTGGCTCCAATGACTAAATCTTGAAGACAGGAATTGGGAGATCCATCTATGGAAAGTATGACTAGCACAAGGAAAATAAAGACATTAGCTGGGCATGGGGGTGTGCACCTGCAGTCCTAACTACTTTGGAGGCTGAAGCAGAAGGATCACTTGAGCCCAGGAGTTTGAGGCTTAGTGTGTGACTGCACTACAGCCTGGGTGACAGAGTGAGACCCTGCCTCTAAAAAAAAAAAAAGAAAAGGAAACATAAATACATCTAGGTTTCCAAATGAAATCACTCACATCACCCTACCGTCTAAGCCCCACCCACATTCTTTGCCTTTATTCATTTTAGTACCTATTCTTTGTTGTTGTTGTTGTTGTTGTGGTTAAGACAAGGTCTTGATCTGTAGCCTAGGCTAGAGTGCGCTGGCACCGTCATAGCTCACTGCAGCCTCAAACTCCTAGGCTCAAGCCGTCCTCCTGCCTCAGCCTCCTGAGTAGGTTGGATTACAGGCATGCACCACTATGCCTGGCCAATTTTTAAACTGTTTTTGTAGAGATAAGGGTCTCACTATGTTGCCCAAGTTAGTCTCAAACTCCAGGCCTCAAGCCATCCTCCCACCTCGGTTGCCCAAAGCACTGGGAGATTGATAGCAAAAAAAAAAAAAGAGAAGAAGTTTGAAAAATGAGAATTAAGGTAAATCTTTCAGAAAATAGTACAAAAAGATGAAGATATAGAAAAATAGAAATAGAAAAAAAAATGAGGAATTTACCATACCATCTCTGAAGACTCTATAGACAAATAACAGGGGTCCCAGAAAGAGAAATAAAAAAGCAGAGGGACAGCCAAGTTCAATGGCCCACGCCTGGAATCTCAGCATTTTGGGAAGCCGAGACAGGCAAATTACATGAGACCAGGAGTTCGAGACCAACCTGGTCAACTCTCATCTCTATTAAAATTTAGCTGGATGTGTTGATGCGCACCTGTAATCCCAGCTACTCAGGAGGCTGAGGTGGGCGTGATTTTTCACTAAACCTTTAGGGTGCGAACAGCCTATGGCCCCCACACTTCGAACCAAGAATTTGATACCCAGCAGAGCTATACATCAAGGATGAGGAATAGTCCAACCTTGTTTTATACATGCAAAATCGGAAAACAATATTTTTCTTCCTTGCACTCTTTCAGGAAGCTCTGGAGGCTTCACCAGTGCAAGGGTGGTCACTAAAAAACAACCACCAAAAAGAGTAAGACATGAAATAAAGAAAGCAGGATATTCAGACAAGAAGGAAATCTCCAGAATGATGACGAAGAGAAATCCCGGAAAGCTAGCTGTCTACCAGAATAGAGAGTGGTCAGGGCAGATTCCAGGAGAGAATTCTCCAAGATGAAACTGAGAGAATATGATGGGAGAGATTGAGAGTGTATCGGCAGGAAATTGGGACAATTGGCAGGATTTAGAGTTGAATTAGTAGTGAGTACATAGAAAGTTGGTCGATCACCAGTGGCCAGTGATTTAATCAATTATGCCTACATAAAGCTTATATTAAAACTTTATGTAGCTTACATAAAAACCCAAGAGGATGGGGTTTGGAGAGCCTCCTAATAGCTGAACAGGTGAAGGTTCCTGGAGCTACACATCTCTTCATCTATATCCTTCACAGTATCCTTGATAGTAAACATGCAAAGGTAGCTAAGTACTCCGGGTGTAATTCACTCTAGCAAATTAAGCAAACCCAAAGTGGAGGCTGTGGGAACCACAACCTGAAGCTGATCGAGGCCTGGACTTGTGACTAGTGTCTAAGTGAGGGGGATGTCTTAGAGACTAAGCCCTCAACATATAGAATCCAATGCTATCTCCAGATAGGTAATGTCAGAATTACATTAGAAGACACCCAACTGGTATCCAATATTTGGTGTGCGGGGGGGCGGAAATCCCCACATTTGGTCACAGAAATCTTCTGTGTTGATGATTGCGATGTCAGAGTGGAGGAAACATTAGTGTTAAGATATCATTTCGTTTATTTAATGATTTCTTGTAATGTGTAAGGGGTATGCCTCTACCACCAGACTCACTGAAAGTAATTTTTTGTATCACTTTTTATTGGATATTATAATGGCTAGGTAGTGACTCACACTTGTAATCCCAGCACTTCGCAAGGCCAAAGCAGAAGGATCCTTTGAGCCCAGGAGTTTTTTGTTGCCTGGACAACAAAATGAGACCCCATGTCTATAAAAAAAAAATACAAAAATTAGCCAGGTGTGGTGGTGTGTACCTGAAGTCCCACAATCCCGGCTACTTGAAAGGCTGAGGTTGGAGGATCGCTTGAGCCCAGGAGGTTGAGGCTTACAGTAAGCCAAGGTCCCTGGCCTGGATGACAGAGCAAGAGCCTGTCTCTAAAAAAAAGAAAGAAAGAAAGATTAGCTGGGCGTGGTGGTGCGCACCTGCAATCCCAGCTACTTGGGAGGCTGAGGCAGGAGAATCACTTGAACCCAGGAGGTAGAGGTTGCAGTGAGCCAAGATCATACCACTGTACCCCAGCCTGGGCAACAGAGTGAGACTCCATCTCAAAAATAAAAACAAAAATTCAAAAAAAAAAGAAAAATATTTTTAAAATGTTATACTGCCAAGAATAATAGGTTTTCATTTAGCTCATCCATAGAATTCCAATGACCTTAAATGACAACATTGCAAATATTTTCCACTTAGGCACAGAAGACGTACTCTTGGAAGACAAAGGTGTCTATGAAACTATGGATGGTACAAGAACTTCACTTGATGTTGAAGAGTACCCCAATACTGAGGTACAGAAAAACCAAGTACTAACTCTGGAAGAATGGCAAGACAAGTGGGTGAACCACAACACTGCTTTTCATCAGGAACAAGGACATCAGTAAGAAATATTTCGTGAATAGGGAAATGCTCTATCAGAAGCTGACTTTGAGATAGAAATAATAATATAAGTATATCTTATTTGACTAATTTTTAAGATGCACATTTAATTCTCCACATTTTTGTGTCTCTGAATCACAGCACATCTACGGCATGATGTAATTTAATTGGCAGTGTCTTTTCTTTCCACAGTGTGTAGATAATGGTGTGACTTACAACTGATAACATCTTAGATTTATAAAATAGGTTCTCTGATCCCCTGCACCATGTATGTATTGGTCATGCATATTTATACCTACAACAGGTGCTCAAGCAATGTTGATATTTACGATTCTTTATACTGAAAACCAGCAGTGTCTGACTTTGCTTTCCAATAGGATGTGTTCAGATGCTAAAGAATGACCTTGGCCAGGCGTGGTGGCTCGCGCCTCTAATCCCCGCACTTTGGAAGGCCGAAGCTGGTGGATCACAAGGTCAGGAGATCAAGATCATCCTGGCCAACACGGTGAAACCCCATCTCTACTAAAAATACAAAAATTAGCTGAGTGTAGTGGCATACACCTGTAGTCCCAGCTACCCAGGAGGCTGAAGCAGGACAATCGCTTGAACCTGGGAGGTGGAGGTTGCAGTGAGCTGAGAGCATGCCACTGCACTCCAGCCTGGGGACACAGCATGACTCCGTCAAAAAAAAAAAAAAATCCCTGTGGTGGGAGAAGAGAAGTTGCGAGAAATTAAAAAGTAAGCTAGGATGTTGTGCGTTGTAGTAGTTAGTAGTCTTCATAGCAATTAGTCATTGGACCAGTGCTAAGTGGTCGTTACAGACATTCCTTGTTCTGGGCAGCCACACCTATCTCCCCAGGAGATGACATTGTCATCATTGTAGGGCTGAGGGCCCCACAGGGTCACGGGGTGTCCCTTATGCTGTGCTGAGGCACAGGATCCGATAAATAAAGAGACAGGACACAGAAGTACAAGGAAAACGCAGCTGGGCTCTGGGGGGCGATGCCACCTATGAGCGGAGTCAGGCAAGTCCCCGAATGTCCAGAAGCATGTGTATTTATTGTGTATAGGTTAGGGGACAGGGCAGTGAGTGAAGTCATCTTTAAGGATAGTGATAGGGTTGTAAGCAATAAAACAAGGGGTCCACCCCCATTAGGTCACCTAGGCTAGGAGGTGGACAGTACACAGCAAGGGGTCCACTCCCATTAGGTCACCGAGGCATGGAGGTGGGCCGTGTGCAGTGAAGAGGGTGCAGTGTGCAATACCTCTATCTATGGGCAAGCTACTTCTAAGAAGATTTATGGGAGGATGCTTTGAGTCACACAGCAGTGACAGAGCTGTCAGGGTCTACGCCACCTGCTGGCAGCTTCCAGTGAGTTCTATAAGAGAATGCTTTTTGAGCGAGTACAGTAACAAGAGCTGATAAAGTTCACAGTCACCAAGGTGCGATTGCCAGTCTGAGGGTAGCCTTCCACAAGAACTGGAGCAAGGTCCTACAACTCCTTTATCAGGAGGAGTGGCTCTCGCCCCAAACCTATCATACAAGCGGGTATCTACAATACTGAATGCTGCTGCCTGGGCCATGGATTCTTGTCCTGGTATAACTGTTTTCCCCTTAAATCATGCTCTGCACTGTGTCTGCTCCAGACATTTCTCCAGCTATAAGCTGCTTATTCCTTAATTCATACTCTGTACTGTGTCTACTCTAGGCATTCCTCCGATTATGAACTAAGATATATGTATATGGAAATAACTGAGTGGTGAGATATTCTTTAGGCACTCATTCTAAGAACTAATATACGATTATATACAGAGGATTGTATAAAGGGAAATAACTAAGTGGTAACACTATAAACTGAGATATTCTCCAAGCCCTAATTGTGCCAGGATTCTGCTTAGCTCTCCTTCCTCCGTGCCTATATGGGGGCCGCATTCATCATCCCAGAAATATTGGGTTATCTCTGTCATGTGGATGGCCTTAGAAGAGCCACATCTCCACAGAGGGAATTACAAGAACTACAAGAGTTAACACTTCTCAGATTTACTTCTAAGGTTTGAGTACGTGTTTAGAGAACTTACAGGAAACAAATATTGAAAATCCATGGCTCCAGAGGCTCCATCACCCCAACATAGAATATATTAAGAGAATTAATAAAGAATTTTTGGCCAGGAGCAGTGACTCATGCCTGTAATCCCAGCACTTTGGGAGGCCAAGGCGGGCGGATGACGAGGTCAGGAGGTGGAGACCATCCTGGCCAACATAGTGAAACCCCGTCTGTACTAAAAAAAACACAAAAATTAGCTGGGCGTGGTAGTATGTGCCTGTAATCTCAGCTACTTGGGAGGCTGAGGCAGGAGAATCACTTGAGCCTGGGAGGTGGAGGTTGCAGTGAGCCAATATTGCGCCACTGTACTCTATCCTGGTAACAGAACGAGACTCCATCTCAAAAATAATAATATTAATAACGTTCAAAACACACCCAAGGAAAAAAATGTATTTTTAATTGCTAATCAGGAAAGCCCTAGGTATAAGTCAGATTTACCACTGACTGGGTGTTTGTCTGAGCAAGTTACATAACTATTTCTTCATATGGAAGCTGGAGATGATAATAATTAATAATATCTGCTTATTAAGTTTGTTGGGAATATTAAGTGAAATAATGAATGGAAAGTGTTCACTTATGATACAATTTTCCTAAATTTTGTTTTTTCTCCTTAGGCTACTAAAGAAGCATTTAGATACTTTTCTTAAAGGCAAGAGTGGACTGAGAGTATTTTTTCCTCTCTGCGGAAAAGCAGTTGAGATGAAATGGTATGAGCAGATAAACATTAACACAATTCTCTTGTCATGATGAATTCTTTGGATGATTCAACAGGCTGTGAGTTTAAAAACTCCATTTTTAGGAAATACACAGGAATTCCTTATTTTTCTATTAGTGATGTGTATATAATTGTAAATTATATTCTCAAACAGTAAGAAACAACAGAAACAGGTATGACCTAGTCTTTCTGGATTGAGTTTTGACATTTAAAAATCAGTGTGGAACCAATGGTGGGGAGAAAAACCAGCCTTCCGGCTTACATTTCCTAGATCCTTGTACGTGGTTCAGTTTTTGTAGATGGTTTTGGTATTTAGCTAAGTTAATTTTAGATATTTGAAATGGTGGTGTACAGAGAAATTCAAAATGAATTGTAGCTTTTTGGCAGGACGGGGTTCATAGTCCACAGTTCGGCTCAACCTTCCCCTCCCGTCAGGGAACACAGGAGTTTCTGTTGTCATGAATTGTTGTTATAAAACCAGTGATTAAGAAACTATTTCTTGTGAGTCATTCTCTACAAAGAGAATTCACTTTAACAAGACACTTTTACTGTGAGTTGCCCTAAAGTCACCTTGCAATTGTTCTCTATACAGCACTCTGTTGTAATGATAATATACAGATACAATCAGACCTGCGAAGATGTGTATTTATTTATAAGCCTGAATGTTGAACACTTTGATCACTGAGCAGAAAAGAAAAAAGAATGTATGTAAAGGTTAGTAAATGGGCCAGGTGTGGTGGCTCCTGCCTGTAATCCCAGCACTTTGGGAGGCCGAGGCAGAAAAACCTCTTGAGCCCAGGAATTTGAGACTAGCCTGGGCAACATAGTGAGACCCTGCCTCAAAAAATAAATTAAAAATAAAAGATTAGTAAATGTAAAATGTAAAAACTTAAAAATGGTCTGTTTTAAATATAAATATCTGTGACTAACAGAGAGTATGCATGTACTTTTTGGGAGCTGATTTTCAAGTAGAGACGATAGAATTTTTGCAGCCAGCCCACACTCGACTGTAGCTGAGAGCCTTTATTAGATGGCTGCTCTGACTTTAAGATTCAAGTGTGGGCATGAAATAGAGAATATTTAAACTATATCATTACACCTATATTTGAACCAACTCATTGAGCCACAAGAGATAGTTACTTTCAAAACTACCCTCAAAAAAATATTAACTCTATAAACAGACTGTCACACAATGTCATCGTAAATAGTAACAATGCAGTACAAACGGGTTTGGAGGCAACATTGGGAAATGGTATGAAATAGCCAATTAAATGTGATTGTTGAATATTTGGGGTCTAAAGCCATTTGTAATAAAAATGTTACCAAAAATATCACAACTGGCCGGGTGAGGTGGCTCATGCCTTTAATCCCAGCGCTTTGGGAGGTGAAGGTGGGTGGATCACTTGAGGTCAGGAGTTTGAGACCAGCCTGGCCAACATGGTGAAAACCCATCTCTACCAAAAACACAAAAATTAGCCAGGCAGGGCGGCGCATGCTTATAATACCAACTACTCAGGAAGCTGAGGCAGGAGAATTGCTTGAACCCAGAAGGCAGAGGTTGCGGTGATCCCATGCACTCCAGCCTGGGCAACAGAGTGAGACTCCGTCTCCAAATATGTGTATGTAAATACAGGTGTGTATATATATATATATATATATATATATATATATATATATCAGAACTTTTGCTACTGTAATTACATGTAAGAAGTTAAGTTATGGTAATAGATGGTTTTTCATTTATGTAACTGATCTGTGTTTTGAGGTCTCTACAGACATCAGATGGGAATAGAAAAACTGACCATGAGGTAAGGACAAAAAGCATTAAAATGAAATGTTTAAGATATTTAGGTTTTGTTTTTTGTTTTTTTGGGAGAGTCCCACTCTGTCACCCATGGTGGAGTATAGTGGCATGATCATAGCTCACTGCAACCTTGAACTCCTGAGCTCAAGAGATCCTCCCTCCCAGCGTGCTATGATAACAGGCGTAAGGCACCGTGCATGTCCTTACTTTGTTTTTATTCCAGGTTGTAGTAGGCTATGCTTCATTCTTCCATCTGTCAAATGGGAAATAAAAATGCATGCAGCTAATCTGAATAACGTTTTTGTTTACATTTTATAACTTCAAAAAATGTATGGAGAATTTTAAAACTCCCTGTATGTTTACAAATACCCTAGGAAATATGAAAGATGAAAGACAAGTTATTAATATGTTTCATTTTACAACTAAACAGTTCATCCTCTGCCCACATTGAAAGCATATTCTCTTTTGTAGACAAAAGGTACAGTCAGTCCTGCTATACTTGTTTCAAAACTGAATTCTAACTCAGTTGATACATTAGGGAACAATCTGAGCATGAAATAAATTTCATATTTGCTTGGGTGTGATTTCATCTACAGGAAGCCTTAGGATAGACAGAATGCACAAACATCTCCCAGCTACCTCAGTAAACATCAGATCTTTTTCACAGTGAAGTGCCCTATTGTAGTATTTATCTATTTCTCAACCATTTAGCATGTGTAAAACTGTTACTATTAGGTTCCTGGTTTTTGGGTTTTTTTAATGTGGCACTAACAAAGGTTTTAAATGCTGTGCCCTGACTTTCCCCACTAGCATGGTGATTTTTGTTGCATGATTTAGCGAAGTGCAGTGATTTCAGAAAGGCACATGTTGCATTATAGCAGAACTATGTTTTTATTTCACTGTACATAAAATCATAACTGTGCCTAGGTACTTGTGCTACTGGTAATGTTTTGTCTTGAGTCCAAGATCTTGAGACTGAATTCTGTTCATTATAAAACTTACCAGGACTGTACTCCCAGCACTTTGGGAGGCTGAGGCAGGCAGATCACTTGAGATCAGGAGTTCGAGATCAGCCTGACCAACATGGTGAAACCCCGTCTCTACTAAAAATACAAAATTTAGCCAGGTGTGGTGGTGCACACCTGTAATCCCAGCTACTCGGGAGGCTGAGGTAGGAGAATCGCTTGAAATCAAGAGGTGGAGGTTGCAATGAGCTGAGATTGTGCCACTGCACTCTAGCCTGGGTGACAGAGTGAGACTCTGTCTCAAAAAAAATTTTTTTTTTTTGAGGAAGCTTTTTCTCAAAATTACCAGGAAAAGGCTGGGTGCAGTGGCTCATACCTGTAATCCCAGCACTTTAGCACTTTAGCACTTTGGGAGGCCGAGGCAGGCAGATTGCCTGAAGCCAGGATTTCAAGACCAGCCTGGCCAGCCTGATGAAACCCCGTCTCTACTAAAAATACAAAAATTAGCTGGCTGTAATCCAGGCATCTGTAATTCCAGCTACTTGAGAAGCCAAGGCAGGAGATCGCTTGAACCCTGGAGATGGAGGTTGCAGTGAGCCGAGATTGTGCCATTGCACTCCAGCCTGGGCAACAGAGCAAGACTCTGTCTCAAAAAAAAAAAACAAACTATTTGTATATGAAAAAATATACAAATTTTTAGATAGTGTTTATTTTAAGCAAATGGAAACCACAAGATTAGTATAGAAATGAGTGCTAATGTCCCAGACCTGTTCACTTCAATACAGTAGCTACTAGCCACATGTGGCCATTTAAATGTAAACTAAATAAAATTTAAAATTCAGTTCCTCAGTCACAAGGAGCCAACATGATTAATGGCTGTTTTATTGGACAGCACAGATACAGACATTTTCATCACTGCAGAAAACTTTTTAATGGACAGTACTGCTTTAAAGAAACTGAAAAGCATTTCCTCTAGTCAAATCAATTTGTATTAAATCAGTATTTTAAATTATATATCTATCATTACATTCCAACTGTTCCATACATAAAAAATAAGATATACAGCTGGGCGCGGTGGCTCACGCCTGTGATCCCAGCACTTTGGGAGGCCGAGGCGGGTGGATCACGAGGTCAAGAGATCGAGACCATCCTGGTCAATATGGTGAAACCCCGTCTCTACTAAAAAATACAAAAAATTAGCTGCCCATGGTGGCGCGTGCCTGTAATCCCAGCTACTCAGGAGGCTGAGGCAGGAGAATTGCCTGAACCCAGGAGGCGGAGGTTGCAGTGAGCCAAGATCGCGCCATTGCATTCCAGCCTGGGTAACAAGGGCGAAACTCCGTCTAAAAAAAAAAAAAAAAAAAAAAAAGATACACATAATTTTCCAAAGGTTTGAAAATATAGATCTGCTTTCCTGCATGTTCTTTGAAATCCTGTGAACCTGAATTCATAGAAATGCCTTTAAATTAAAGAAAATATATGCTTACTCCAATATAACCCTTTATTTAGTCATTTGAACACATAATTTAAGTGTAAATTTATGATTTTATGTAGGTTTGCAGACCGGGGACACAGTGTAATTGGTGTGGAAATCAGTGAACTGGCGATACGAGAATTTTTTACAGAGCAGAATCTTTCTTACTCAGAAGAACCAATCACCGAAATTCCTGGAGCCAAAGTATTTAAGGTTTGTTTTGATTTGGGTAAATAATTGCATCCATAGCCCCACAAAAATGTTTCTCAGCCTGAGTATTGTACAGATACCATATATGTGTCTGATGGTTTCTATTTAGCACACATATTCACCCTAGCCATTATATAGTATAAGGAGCAAGGTCTTAAAACTACAGATGATAGGCCGGGCACAGTGGCTCAAGCCTGTAATCCCAGCACTTTGGGAGGCTGAGGTGAGAGGATCACAAGGTCAAGAGATCGAGACCATCCTGGTCAACATGGTGAAACCCCGTCTCTACTAAAAATTAGCTGGGCATGGTGGCGTGTGCCTGTAATCCCAGCTACTCAGGAGGCTGAGGCGGGAGAATTGCCTGAACCCAGGAGGCAGAGGTTGCGGTGAGCTGAGATCGCGCCATTGCACTCCAGCCTGGGTAACAAGAGCGAAACTCCGTCTCAAAAAAAAAAAAAAAAATACAGGTGATAGCTACCTAAATAGATATAGACATACATATATAAAAGCTGAGGTCAAAGCCTCTCTGTATTCAAGTTTTTAGGTTTTTTTCTATTTTCATTAACATGTATTTTAACATGTGCCAGACTCTGCCTACAATGTTGAAAAGATAACACAGCCTCCCATCAAAAAAAAAAAAAATCTATTGGTTAAGGAGAGAAGAGAAACAGAGATTAAGCTATTTGTAATGCATGGAGCTAAGTATAAAGACACAGAGTACCAAGGGAAGAGATGAGAGTTACCTGCCTAGCCTGGCCGTGCTTCCTGAAGCATGGTGACAGATAGAGCTGGAATCAGGTAGGGCCTGGGTCCACGGTCTTCCTGATGCTTCCAGACAGGCCCCTGCTCTGCCTCCTATGTTCACATAGTTCGCAGGCACAGAACCATAACACAACAGGCCATTCTGGACTGTAATGTTTCTCTGTGCCCATACTTCTTTGCTCTTGTCTGTACTCACTGTGGTCAGAGACTGTGTCGAATTCAAATCTACTCTCTAGAACCCAGGATAGGTGTCTTTTCTACTAGGTGCTTGGCAAATAAATGCTCATTGGCTGAATGAATGAGTGAAAATGGAAGAATCAGCACGATTGCACATTTCTTGAATAACTTAAAATACCTGACTTTTCAATATCACCTTGCCTGGTAATTGGTTGACCTGCAGATTTATCTTTAACAGAGTAAAAATATCACTCTGCTTAGCCGGGTGCGGTGGCTCATGCCTGTAATCCCAGCACTTTGGGAGGCTCAGGAGGGTGAATCACCTGAGGTCAGGAGTTCAAGACCAGCCTGGCCAACATATTGAAACCCCGTCTCTACTGAAAACACAAAAAATCAGCTGGATGTGGTGGTGGGCACCTGTCATCCCAGCTACGAGGGAGGCTGAGGCAGGAGAATTGCTTGAACCCGGGAGGTGAAGATTGTGGTGAGCCGAGATTGCGCCAATGCACTCCAGCCTGGGCAACAAGAGCAAAACTCTGTCTCAAAAAAAAAAAAAAAAAAAAAAAATCACTCCACTGATGGAAACATTGCTAGAATTTTATAGCAAGCTCTGAAGTGAATAACAGCCAACTGATCTTCAAGGTTGTCTTCTATGATCTTCCTCTGACTTGGCCCAAAAGAACCCCACACATGTTTTAAAAGAAAAAAATAAGGTGTCAGTAAAGTACAGTAAAATGATTTACTTTCCTTCTGTTTAATTAACACATTCTTTCTCTAGCATCTTTGCTTTGCTTGGGCCCTCTTTCCTTGACTATTCAAGTAAGTACTAAGTAAGTAAAAAAAAAAAATTTTTTTCATTCTTTCGTTACAGAGTTCTTCGGGGAACATTTCATTGTACTGTTGCAGCATTTTTGATCTTCCCAGGTAGGAATGAATACTACATCTGCACCTTTAAAAACCTGAATGCTTGCTAGACAGTGCAGGCGTGGGAGCGGGGGTCTCTCCATCACTCTCCTCCACTTGTGTAACATCCTCAAAGCATTTTTTTTTTGAATGTCTGTTCTGCAGATATTTTTATTACACACTTGTCTGCACACTTTAATGTGTTTTGTCTTTGGTTAGCTCCCAAACTATGGGAAACTGAGGCAGCTAGGGAAAAAGAAAGGTGAGTGAAACAGTGTCTTCTACCTTGCACGTGAGCCTATAATAGAAATGAATTTCAAGTGGTGTAGGGAGGTGAGAGCTCATCTCCTGAAAGTCCCTGGTACCTGAGCCAGAGGCTGGGAGCAGAGTTGTCACACACTGTCCTTTGTTCCTTCTTCATGCCACTACATTATAACAGGATGAGGAGGCTGCTGCCACAGGCTCCTAAAACCATGACGGGATAGATAGCTCTCCACACCCAGGTCCACACATAAGGACTTTATGAGGAAAAGCAGACCTGAAATTATAATACCTTGACAGTTAGTGAAGTACCAGCATGCACCATGAGGGCGTTGTTCATCTTGTTAAAGATTTTATTCCCATAAAATGTTTTTCTCTTTCTGGTAGGACAAATATTGGCAAATTTGACAGGATATGGGACAGAGGAGCATTAGTTGCCATTAATCCAGGTGATCGCAAATGGTAAGTAATTTTTCTTTTTCTTTTTTTTAGCCTTCTTAATTTTTTAGTATATTATAATTTTTCTGGGTTCTAGAAAATCAGCTAGACTTTTTATGAGTTTGAAATACCTTATTATATTGGGAATTCATAAAAACCTAAATCCAATATCAGCTTTGTTTAAAAAGTATAGGATTTGGCTGTAGAGACCCGGGTAAAAAGGCTATAAGGCTTGTGGTTCTATCACTTTCTTTTCCTTTTTCTTTTTCTGAGTTGGAGTCTCCGTCTGTAGCCCAGGTGGGCGTGCAGTAGCATGATCTTGGCTCACTGCAACCTCCGCCTCCCGGGTCCCGGTTCAAGCAATTCTCCTACCTCAGCTTCCCAAGTAGCTGGGATCACAGGCACGAGCCACCATGCCCAGCTAATTTTTGTATTTTTTAGTTTCACCATGGGTTTCACCATGTTGGCCAGTCTGGTCTTGAATTCCTGACCTCATGATCTGCCCACCTCGGCCTCCCAAAGTGCAGGGATTACAGGCGTGACCCACGGCACCTGGCCGGCTCTATCACTTTCAAGCTGTGTGGCCTTGGTCCAAGTATTCAGCTTCTCTAAGCTTTGGTTTACTCCTGCAAAATGGGAATATTTCTGTGATACTAACACAGTCCTCACCACCTCCACTGATAGAACCAGATAATACTTACTGGTCACTTGCCTATGCCACGTATTGTTCAAAATACTTTATGTAGGCTGGGTGTGGTGGCTCATACATGTAATCTCAGCACTTCGGGAGGCCAAGGCAGGAGGATTACTTGAGCCCAGGAGTTTGAGACCAGTCTGGGCAACAAAGCAAGATGCCACCTCTACAAAATATTTTTAAAATTAGCCGACTGTGGTGGTACGTGCTTGTAGTCCCAGCTACTCTGGAGGCTGAGGCAGGAGCATGAGCCCAGAAGTTCAAAGCTGCAGTGAGCTATGATCATACCACTGCACTCCAACCTGAATGACAGAGCAGGACCTTGTCTCTAAAATATTTAAAAAGAAAAAAAAAAAATCAAAATAGTTTATGTGGTTTAATATTTAATTATGTGAAGTATAAGCTACCATTTCATTATACAGATGAGGAAACTGAGAACAAAAAGATTAAGTTACTTGTCCAAAGTTAGCTGGTATGTGACAGAGTTGAGATTCAAAACCAGAGTATTTGGCTTTAAAGCCCACACCTGTGGCCGGGAGCGGTGGCTAACGCCTATAATCCCATCACTTTGGGAGGCCGAGGCAGGCGGATTATCTGAGGTCAGGAGTTTGAGACCAGCTTGGCCAACACAGTGAAACCCCATCTCTACTAAAAATACAAAAATTAGGCTGGTGTGGTAGCCTGTAATCCCAGCTACTCAGGAGGCTGAGGCAGGAGAATCACTTGAACCCAGGAGGCAGTGGTTGCAGTGAGCCAAGATCGTGCCACTGTACTCCAGCCTGGACAACAAGAGTGACACTCCATCTCAAAAAAATGAAATAAAATAAAATAAAGTCAACACTCATGATTCCTTTGTTAGACTACCTCAAAGGATTGTTGTGAGAATTGAAAGAAATGAAATATGTGGGAAGTATCTTGTCATCTCTAAAGAACTGTATAAATAAGAGCTGTTATTATTGAAGCATTTGTTATTGCTGTTTTTGGTGACCATTCTTATTATGTCCAGTCTTTTTAGAAAATAAAATTAAAATATGAAGAAGCATGCTAAGTAGAATGTGACCACATCTATATACTTTTTCAATTCGAATAATGTCATTTATATACTTACTTGGATACAGCATGCAAATATTGAACTATTTAGTTTTATGAACAGACTCATCACTTGGCCAAAAAGGAGGCTGGGCGTGGTGGCTCATGGCTGTAATCCCAGCACTTTGGGAGGCCGAAGTGGGTGGGTCATGAGGTTAGGAGTTCAAAACCAGCCTGGCTAACATAATGAAGCTGAGTCTCTATAAAAATACAAAAATTAGCCTGGCGTGGTGGCAAACACCTGTAGTTCCAGCTACTTGGGAGGCTGAGGCAGGAGAATCGCTTGAACCTGGGAGGTGGAGGTTGCTGTGAGCAAAGATTATGCCACTGCACTTCAGCCTGGGCGACAGACCAAGACTCCGTCTCAAAAAAAAAAAAAGGTTAGGCTTCACATCAGTGAAATAAGATTTTTATTTTTAAAAATTGTTTCATCAGTAAGGCTTATTGCCAAACCTAATCTTTGTAAATTAGACCATGTCACATCTTAAGTATTATGCTCCTGTTTCCCCCTGTTTGTCACCGCCCCTCCTTTATCTCTTTCCTGGAACTCCCACCCTCCCCGCGTGCCTAAAAGGAAAAGTCATGATTTCCCAGGGAACCACCATCCGTGGCCTTTTGCTCTCCTCTTACGCAAAATTTGTCAATATTTGTCCTACCAGAACGAAAAAAAATTTTATGAAAGAAAAATCAAATCTTTAATGATAAATTCTGTTACTTTCATTCAGCTATTCAATAGATATTTACTAAGTTCCTGCAATGCTCTAAATATATGCTATGCCAGAGATGGGGAAAATGACTGAATTATTATACATGGCATTTGCTCTGACAATCTTTATATTTTCAGTGCTGTTCTTTCTCAGACATCCTCATCACGTATCCAGTGTGTGCTTTGCATTTTCCGTGTGACATCAGTGTCGTTTCACAACTCAAAATATCAAGGAGACCTCTGTCCCCGTAAGACGCATTTGTATACGAAACCCCATCTGGTAATGTCTAAATTTGTAGATGTTTCCCACTCCCTAAAGATGTTCATCCACTCCTTAGAGGTTAGTCTTTCTACAGGCTCTGGTTGGCATGGTAAAATCCACCAAGCAGTGGGAAGCAAACTGAAAGTCACCAAGTGCAGACCAAGATCAGACCCAGCACTTTGGGAGGCCGAGGCAGGTGGATCACCTGAGGTCAGTTATTTCCCCAGTGTCTGGCATAGTATATATTTAGCATCTAATAAGAGCTTAATAAATGTTTTTTGAATAAATGAATGGAAGATGTGAACTGCACTCTGAGCAAGGGCGATATTACTTTACTATGTACTGGTAGTATCTTAAGGTTTTTTTTTGAGACAGAGTTTCACGCTTCTTGCCCAGGCTGGAGTGGAATGGCACAGTCTCGTCTCACCAAAACTTCCACCTCCAGGGTTCAAGCAATTCTCCTGACTCAGCCTCCTGAATAGCTGGGATTACAGGCATGTGCCACCATGCCTGGCTAATTTTGTGTTTTTAGTAGAGATGGGATTTCTCCATGTAGGTCAGGCTGGTTTCAAACTCCCAACCTCAGGTGATCTGCTCCCCTCAGCCTCCCAAAGTGCTGAGATTACAGGCCTGAGCCACCACGCAAGGCCATATCTTAGTATTTTATGTATGTGCTGGTACTTACTATCTTAGTTCTTTATCTACATGCTGGTACGCCGTATTTACTACATTAGCACATCATCCAGGTGCTCTCGTTAGGACTGGGTGTCTTCTGCTTAGAGTGCACATTGTCAAGTACTAATATATTTTCTGCTGTGACTCTCAAGTACTTGCCTAACGTAAACCAGTAGGGCACACCTCATTTTTCTGGATTTTTTGAGACTGGTTGAGAGAGAAAAAGTTCACGTTCTAAGAGGAATGAAGTCTTTCAGTCCTAGGAAACCCTGCCAAACCAGTCAGACATGGCCTTCATGGGGACAGCAAGTTTCTTCTGAAAAAGAAGAATCAGAAAGTTAAGAAGTAACAGTTTCTGTTCAAAAGTTTGCTTTGGTCTGGTTTTCACCTACAGGGAAGAGTGATCCACTGTTGAATTCTCACAAATTGTGAGGTGGTTACTAGTCTTATCCTCATTTTATAGGTGAGGAAACTGAGGCACAGATAGGTTAAGAATTTTTTCAAGCTTACATAGCCAGTCAGAAAGGCTGGGGTTTGAGCTTGGGCATCTCACAGAGTCCACACTCCTAATCTCCACATTAGCCTCACCAGTTTCTCACAAACCTCTAGACAGAGATCACAGTCTAGCCAGGCTCTTTAGAAAATGGAGTGCCAAGAGCCCAGGCTCCTTCCTCAGAGTGGGGAAGAGTATCCATCTTTGTCCTTGGCCTGTCTCTCATGGCGTCTCTACTTCCCTGCCTGCATCTCCTGTCCTCTCCTTATCCCTCAGCTTCCTCCATTTCCATTTCCACCAGCTGACTTGCCTTCAACCCTCAGCCTCCTTGCTCCAATAGCAGTACAACACAACTCCAGCTTTCAGTAGGACCACTGCTAATTAGCACTTCCTCTTTGGTCTCTTAATTCAATTTCCAGGTGAGTCATCTGATTGGTCAACTCACTGTCTGTATCTGGTTTGGCCCTGACTTCTGCTTAGTCTGTTGATGGGTCCCATTAGCATCAGCTTCCCACTCTGATCCAATCAGACCTGGCCCCCTGAGGCTTCTACTCCAAGGACAGTTTCATTGTACTCATGGTTGACGCCACACTTGCAGAGCTTTAATTTCATGCCACCTTTTTTTTTTTTTTTTTTTTTTTTTTTTGGCGCGCATGTTATTTTCATTTCTCTCTAATTAAATAGAAGAAAAGAATGGTGTTTTCTCTTACATAAGGCACCTGGAGAGGTCCCAGTCGCCCAGGATATTTGTTAAATTGCAGCATCCCAGGCCCCACAGCAAACCGACCACATCTTTTCTTTAAACAAGCACCCCGGTGATTCTGACACCCAGCCTGTTCTAGAAATGACTGCCCTGGAGCACACAGGCATCCAAGGTCGGCAGGCCCTGGAGTACCACATCAGGCCAGAAGGAGCCTCTGCCCACCCTTATGTGATGTCTTCTGCTCCGATAAACTGGTGGAAGCAGGCCTCGATTTGATTCCCTTCTGGACCAATTTCCACCTTAGGCAGGGGCCATAATTTGCTAAACCTGTTTCTCACTTTTAAAATGAAAATCAACCTCTTGTGATTATTAGGAGAGTTAAACTCAGTAAAGGCAGTGAAAGCAACTTCTGGCTTCCTTCCCTGCCTTTTGTCCCTCCAGCCTTTGTCTGTGTAGAGAAATGTAACAAATGCCTTCTTGTGTTCTTTTTAGCTATGCAGAGATAATGTCATTCCTCCTGGGAAAGAAGTTTCAGTATCTCATGTGTGTTCTTTCTTATGATCCAACTAAACATCCAGGTAATGTTGTTGGGTGTTTCTTTCTTTTTTCTTTCTTTCTTTCTTTTTTTTTTTTTTTTTTTGAGACGGAGTTTTGCTCTTGCTACCCAGGCTGGAGTGCAATGGCACGATCTTGGCTCACCGCAACCTCCACCTCCTGGGTTCAAGCAATTCTCCCGCCTCAGCCTCCTGAGTAGCTGGGACTACAGGCATGCGCCACCATGCCCAGCTAATTTTTGTATTTTTAGTAGAGGCGGGGTTTCACCATGTTGACCAGGATGGTCTTGATCTCTTGACCTTGTGATCCACCCGCCTCGGCCTCCCAAAGTGTTGGGATTATGGGTGTGAGCCACCATGCCCGGCCTCTTTCTTCTTTTACCAGTTGCCTAGTTTCTTAATATCAATTCTCTGACATGGATAAGATTTGTTTTTCTCCTAATTTATCTCACAGGAAGCATACTGCATATATACATGGAGAGATTCCATTTTTTGCTAATGGGAATAAGCATTTTTTTCTCTTCCTATATTGTACATAATTTTCTTGTATTCCTTTCCCATTTTGTTTGCCATTCACAACTCAGACTATAGAAGGGGGGGAAATGGATAATCCTGATATAGAAGAAAAATGTCATGAGTCATATTGTAAGGAAGGAGAAATGTGGTTGGATATTGCATATCCATATCACCCACACGGGTAGTGATGTGTTGAGCAGATAGATGCCTTCACATACACAACACATCCTCATAGCAGCACGGGGTGAGAAGTGAACTTGGGCAGGTAGGAGTTGTGCAGGAAAAGCTCTAAATTATTGTCCTTTTTTAATTTCTAAAGTTTTATAATCTATCTATTGCATTCTTGTCTTGTTTTGTTTTGTTTTTGAGACAGAGTCTCACTCTGTCACCCAGGCTGGAAAGCAATGGCGTAATCTTGGCTCTCTGCAACCTCTGCCTCTTGGGCTCAAGCAGTTCTCCTGCCTCAGCTTCCTGAGTAGCTGGGATCACAGGTGCATGCTGCTACATTCAGCTAACTTTTTTTTGTATTTTAGTAGAGACGAGGTTTCGCCGTGTTGCCCATGCTGGTCGTGAACTACTGATCTCAGGCAATCCACCGCCTCAACCTCCAAAAGTGCTGGGATTATAGGCATAAGCCACCACGCCTGGTCTATTGCATTCTTTTATAACTATTTGTTTTGAATCTGTCGATGGTATGTTTTCCTCTGGACTGATTTTAATGCATTCAAACATTGAAACTTAACCTTTGTCATGGCTGGACTTGTAAAGGGAGAAATACACAGACTTAATTTGTAAGAATCTCCTTTTTGATTTTTAACTGAGCTTTTTTACATGCTTGTTTGCAAATATTTACATATGTTAGTATTTTTTGTTTTTGTTTTGTTTTGTTTTGTTTTTGGGACACAGTCTCACTCTGTTGCCCAGGCTGGAGTACAGTGGTATGATCTCAGCTCCCTGCAACGTCTGCTTCCTGGATTCAAGTGATTCTCCTGCCTCAGCCTCCCAGGTAGCTGGGATTACAGGCCTATGCCATCACACCCAGCTAATTTTTATATTTTTAGTAGAGATAACATTTCACCACGTTGGGCAGGCTGGTCTCAAACTCCTGACCTCAGGTGATCTGCCCTCCTCAGCCTCCCAAAGTGCTAGGATTCCAGTTGTGAACCACTGCACCCGGCCAGTATTTTGTTCTGTTTGAATAAATTGAGGTCTTAAAAATTAATTAAAAGATGAGATGTAGCATCCCTAATTAAATCTAAGATAATCAAAGGGAAATAGAAATTAATAGAGGCAGAGGTTAGCTCTGCTAATCTGATTTAAACTCCATTCATGAATAGGAGACCTAATGAAGAACCTTAGGGAAGAAAACACAACAGGTCCTGTCTGGAGGTGGAGGCTGAGAACACTGCTCTTAGAAGTGGCAGAAGCTCAGCTTCCTCATGGTCTATATCCTGCAGCAGAGCGGGAGGAGTATATAAAATGTAGGTGAGTGCACGAGTTGGTAGAAAATCAATATGTCGGAACATGATTGAAACCCCAAAGGAATCCGGTGATGGACTCCACTCTGATTTCAATGAGCCTAAGTCCCTTGACTGGCTTAGCTGTCTCATCTTAGCTGAAGATGGTTATGATGGGTATGTAACATTGCCCTCCTCTCAGTAAGCCAGTTTATTTCTTTGGTATGAGCTCTGTAAAAGAAGAATTATAAGAACATGCCACATCATCACCTATTTGGATAATGAAGTTGTATATAGAACAAGTACCCCCAGGTCACTAGAAACAAACTGAGAATGTATTTCTCTTTTACCTAGGTCCACCATTTTATGTTCCACAAGCTGAAATTGAAAGGTTGTTTGGTAAGTTTGTGGACTTATGCTGTAACTTTTTAAATAAAGTCAAGTTAACTCTTTTGGGCTGCACTTAGTGGCTCATGCCTGTAATTCCAGCACTTTGGGAGGCCAGGATGGGCAGATCACCTGAGGCCAGAAGTTTGAGACCAGCCTGGCAAACTGAGACATGGCAAAACCCCATTTCTACCAAAAATACAAAAATTAGGCCTGTGTGATGGCATGCACCTATAGTCCCAATTACTTGGGAGGCTGAGGCATGAAAATTGCTTGAACCCAGGAGGCAGAGATTGCAGTGAGCTAAAATCATGCCAGTACACCCCAGCCTGGGTGACAGAATGAGACTCCATCTAAAAAAAAAAACTGTTGTGAACAATTAGTATATTATTTATTAGTATCTAGAGTATGTATATAAAATTTAAAAGACGGAGATCAATAGAAAATTTACAATAAAAATTTCAATATTTCATTGAAAATTGTTTTATCTTAGAAAAGGAACTAATCTCTGTAAATATGATATATATATATATATATATATATATATATATATGCGCCATATACTTTATGTTAAGAGCATTTAAACTTTTCTAGAGAGATGGTATATTTATATTTATTTATTTATTTTTGAGATAGGATCTTGCTTTGTCACCCAGGCTGGAGTGCAGAGGCGCAATCACAGCTCACTGCAGCCTCAACCTCCCTGGGCACAAGTGATCCTCCCACCTCAGCCTCCCAAGCATCTGGAACTAGAGTCATGAACCACAATGCCTAGCTAATTTTTGTATTATTATTATTTTTTTTAGAGATGAGGTTTCACCACATTGCCCAGGCTGGTCTCAAACTCCTGGGCTCAACTGATCCTCTTGCCTTGGCCTTCCAAAGTGCTGGGATTAGAGGCATGAGCTGCCACACCCAGTGATATATTTATTTTTACCCTTGGGAGTTAAAAGTTATAATAACAATTCAGAGTTCAGGATATTTGCCCTTAGCATTCCTTTGTTTTGATTAAAAAGAAGTGAAAAATCTTTAGTATATGCTGTTTTTAAAATAATTTGAAGATTTTGTTTCTTTTGAGATGGAGTTTCACTCTTTTTGCCCAGGTTAGAGTGCAATGGTGCAATCTTGGCTCACTGCAACCTCTGCCTCCTGGGTTCAAGCATTTCACCTGTCTCGGCCTCCCACGTAGCTGGGATTACAGGCATGCACCACCACACCTGGCTAATTTTATATTTTTAGTAGAGACGGGGTTTCACTATCTTGGCCAAGCTGGTCATGAACTCCCCACTTCAAGTGATCCACCCACCTCAGCCTCCCAAAGTGTTGGGATTACATGTGCAGCCAATTCTAAGTATTTTTAAAAGAACCTCTGATGTCATTTTTCATAGTATTTTAACATGTTACTCTTTCTTGTTTCAGGTAAAATATGCAATATACATTGTCTTGAGAAGGTTGATGCTTTTGAAGAACGACATAGAAGCTGGGGAATTGACTATCTTTTTGAAAAGTTATATCTACTTACAGAAAAGTAAATGAGACATAAATAGAATGAAATCACATGGATGTGTTTTTGAGGAACTGAAAATTATGCTAAGGCCTGAAAATGTGATGGATACATTTTTTAATTGTTTATAAATCATATGATAGATTTTTACTAAAAATGGCATACAACTTTTCAGGAGAAAAAGATGTAAATTAAAGTAGCTCATTTGGTGAGTAGATTATGGTATGAAAGATTATAGCTGTGTGTCCTAAAGACTGCAAGATTTTTTACCAATCAGCATGTGTTACCTGTATAATTAAAAAAATTTTAATGCAATGCATGTTAAATATAATACACATAGAAAAACTGACATTCTTTATGAAATTTAGAATTGTTGAAGAAAGATAACACTTCCATAGGGTTCAAGGTGGTCCCAAGAGTTATATAAAAGATTAGCTTTTACTATAAACCCTTGTCTTTTACTCAAATCCTAGCATCCCTTTTCACATGGTTTCTCCATATATAACAGAATCAAGAAACAAATTTTAATAAACAACCTGTACCACAAATAATCAAGAAACAAATAAATTTTAATTAAACAATCTATATGGAGCAAAACATTCTCAAATTCTAAGAATACATTTTTCTTTAAGTTTTTTCTGAGTTTGGCAGTTGTTGTTTCTTATAATTTAACCTGTTTAAATGATCAGGTCTTATAAAGTATAATGTACTTAGAGCTGGATTCATGCCTGTTTATTATGAAAGTTTAGATTCAGAATTTCCCAGTTTTTCATTAACAATCACATTTTGTTAAATCAGACAGCCCTCTATAACTCTGTATTACCCAACAGCTAAATGGTTTAGATTATTTAGTTCATGTTAATAGGATGGTTGTGTATTATAAAAAATGAGTTACATGTGTGTGTGTGTGTGTGTGTGCACACGCACGCATGCACATGTGCTGGCTTAAAGCTTGTTAATGGGGAGGTTTGGGTACCCCTTCAACATGGGTGAAAGCCGTGGTGCTCTCCCTAGAGATCTGTCTTGTCAACCTCTCTTGTTCCTCTTGGCCTCTACCCTAGAAGCTCTCTGCCATTGATGTAGCCTAATAGATTTTTAAGGCTATTAATTTGAAGCAACTCCTTGCTCACAATGATTCTTGCTTCTCGGACCTGCACCCAGTCTGTAGTATGGGCTTCCAGAAGCCATGACTCCCCAACTCTGCCTGTGTCACCAGTTGAATGGACAACTGACCCGAGTTGGACCAACACAGTTGTCTCCAGAGACTTTTGATTTTTGTTTTTTTATATAGACAGGGTCTCGCTTTGTTGCCCAGGCTGATGTCGAACTCCTGGCCTCAAGCAGTCCTCCTGCCTTGGCCACCCAAGTGCTGGGATTACAGGGGTGAGCCATTGCACTGGCCCTCTTCATAGACTTTTGGACTTGGGACTAGAAAGGCAAGTTGACTGCTGACTGGGGGATCTGTAATGTGTACGCCTGGAAGTTGTGGGGCAGCCACATTCCATCACGTGGATCTGAGAAACAGAATGCTGATCTGCAGAAAGAGATGAGAACCAGAGAGGCCACCTGTGTTCCAGGTCCATTTTCATCTTTCCTCAAGCCCAGCCACACAGGGTGGGGAGGAACACCCTGTGTCCATGGGATAGAGTCTTCTCTTATACTTATGCCCAGAGAATCTTAAATAATCAAATGAGATATCCTTATGTAGTTGATCTTTTATGTAATATGTGTCTTCATTGGGGAATACTGAGTTCTTAAACTCTCAAGATGGAAGATATACCACATATAAATTATTTTAGAGCAATTGATCTTCAGGATTTTCCAAAAATGCTTCTTGTTTAATTTTGTTATTTAAGTAACAGATTATCTGAGCCTCTGTGCCCAGCACACAGTTGTTTATAAATACCTTGCCCTGCCTATGAAGCAGGCATGAATGCTCTAGTATAGACAACATTATCAGTAGCAGACAGGATGAAGTAAGACAGGTATGTGATGATCAGTTTATTTGGGTGAATGTGGAAAGAAAAATACAAAGAAATGCAGCCAAAGCTTTAACGGCTATCACAGGCAAGTCAGAGATTGGGCTCCTTAAAGGATGGTATAGGAGCGGCAGAAGGTGGCCTGAAAGATATACCTGTAAGAGAGCTCCAAGCTGATAGGATTCACTGGCAGAATGAAATGACAAATAGAAACCTAACCCATGGAGGTATTAGTTCAGGTAATTCACGCAGTCACAACTGCAGTACATACCTGTGATTGTTTTATTTTAATACAAGGGAGCAATTTTAATGTGCGTTTATGCATACATGTATATGTTTTTTATTTTTATTTTTTATTTTGAGACAGGGTCTCATTCTGTCACCCAGGCTGGAATACGGTAGTGTGATTATAGCTTACTGCAGCCTCCATCTCCCAGGCTTAAGCAATCCTTCTGCCTCTTGAGTACACGGGACTACAGGCATGTGCCACCACGCCCAGCTACTTTTTTTTTTTTTTTTTTAGTAGAGATGAGGTCTCACTATGTTGCCCAGGATGGTCTCAAACTCCTGGCCTCAACTGATCCTCTTGCCTCAGCCTCCCAAATTGCAGCTCAATCTACACCTACTCTTTCTGAAAGGTCTTTCAGAGGAAGATTTCTACTGAGTGCTTTTAAAAAATCAAAATTATCTTTAATCCCTACAGTTCTGACTTCCCAATCACTTCTTATGTGATGTGCTTTTTGCCTTACAAAGCATTATATGACAAATTTACCGGTGGCTGAGTTAATGGGAATAGGATATAATTCTATGTATATGCCTTAAGCATAGTCATTCTGATTTGCAGAAAATAGTCCCAGATTTATTAATTATGTGTAGCTGTCATTTGTGAGCTGAAAATATGTCTGAAAATCTGTTATTCCTAAACAGTGGGCATTAATAGAATTTGGTGTTAACGCTCAACAACAAATAGGAGGAGGATAATCAAGGCAGATATTGAGAAATGAAATATGCCATAAAATACTACATTATTTATATTTAAATAAGACAAACAATCCTTTATGCACTGAAAACTTGGGAAGTCTAAAAAGAAAAACAAAAGCAATCAAATCCTACCATTAGAGATAATTACTGCTATGATGGTGATGTGTTTTCTTCTCATCTTTTTTATCTGCTCATACAGGTGTATGCTTTCACAAGGCTGTGATAATATTACGATTCAGTATTGTATCTCCATGACCTTCCTTTCTATTTCATTAGCCCTTTCCCATGTTGAGGCAGGAAAATCGGGTCTAGAGGCAGGGAACCTAAGGAAAATTCATGCTGACTTCCTAGAACTAAATTGAAGGGAAAACCTCAACTTTCCATGCCTAAGTAACAAAAGGACCAGAGGCTACTCCCTTTGTATCCTCCCCTCCCCTTCCTCCTCACTGCCCCCAGACTTTTCAGGTGGCAGAAACGTCTGCACCCGATCAGAGCAGTGTAACTTTTGTAAATCCACTTCAGCCGCTGATTGGTTGCAAAAGCAACCAATCAGACTGATTGCAGGCAAATATTTATTTGCATGGGTGAATACCAAGTGGCCAATGGGAAGCCTCTAGTAGGTATTTGCACCCCAGAAGGTTCTGTAACCAGAGCCCTTGAACCACTGCTCAGCCAGCTCCCACCCTGTGGAGTGCACGTTCATTTTCAATACATCTCTGCTTTTGTTGCTTTATTCTTTTCCTGCTTTGCTGTGAGTTTTGTCCAATTTTTTGTTCAAAAAGCCAAGAACCTGGACAACTTGTGGTCAAGACCCTCTACTGGTAACAGTGTCACTATTTTTCAAAAGTAAGATTTTTGCATAGCTGTATAATGTCGTCACGTGGCAGCACCATTATTATTTAATCTTCTCCTGCTATTAGAGTCAGCATTCGTTCAGCAATCTAAATACTATTGGGTGTGCCAGCACATAAAGGTTTTTTGGTTATTGAAGATAGTCCTGCTCTCAGGCACCACAGGTTGTAGGGGCAGGGACTGAACATTCAGTTTTATTATACAGCATAGGATGGCTGTGTTCGGGGTACAGGCAGGGAGCTGTCAGCTTCTAAGTGGTCATTTAAACCATGAGGAAGTGAAGATGACATTGCTCAGGGGAACAGGTAGGAAGCTAAGAGATAAAGACCAAGGGTGGTACCTTGAGAACACTTACTTGCATTGAACATGAGATGCACTCACATCTCTAGATCCCCATTTCCAAACATACATCTCCAGCTCATTTTTGTATGATCTCACTAAAAAAGTTCAAAATAGAGCCATTCTTCCTCTTAACACCACAGCCCTCACCCCTGAGATGCCAAGAACATGGCGCATGAGCTTGAAAATTAGCGTGGTGGTCAGAGATGCCCTTGGGAAGAGGGCAAGGCTGGAAGCAGAGCCCATTCGATGTGACTTGGTCCTCTTGCTTTCTCTTACATCATTGTCAGGTAGTCTGAGGTGTAATTGGATCTTTAAACTTGTTCTGGGATTCCTTCCAAGCTGCATGTGTCTGGCACATTTGCCCCACCTGTACAAGCAGGAGCCCACTTGCCTAAGCACTGACTCCCCTGTCCCCATGCTCCCCATGTGCTGTCTTCTCTGCTGGAACCATCCTGAGCTGGGTCCCCACTCTCCTTCCACTACAGTATGTAACTTTGCTCATAGGTCAGCCACTGACCACTTTGAAAACCAGATGTTCTGCTCTTCAAGCCCTTGCCCCCACAATTCTCAGGGTTTGTTCAAGGTGGAAGCAGGAGAATATGGGTATGCTAGTCCAGGACCCTCCATATAAGGAATATCAGAGAAAAGCAATGTGAAAATCCATGGAGGCTCAGCCTTTGAGGAGGAAATGACAGTCACAGGAAATGCCAAATGTCAGAGTGAGATTCAAGATATTTCTGTTATTAATCAAGTGTGCAATGGTGTGATTGCATAAATGATATGATTTAGTTGGTTATTTATTTAGGATGGAAATGTAGTCAGAAATTAGGGTATTAAGTTGGTTATTGTGTCCCAGTACACAATCTTTGAGTCAAATAACGTTTGATGAGAAAATGTTCTTTCTTGTCTTACATTAAAGCTGTCTCCAGGGGCCATAAGAGGGGACAAAATGCTGTGTTTTCTCAGAAATCTAGCAAATCAGGTGAATGATCATGATTATGATCTCTAAAGGAACAGAAATTCTGTAATATAAGGTTTTGTTAAGCACAATGTTCACATAAGACATTTGGGGGGAAATCCCTTAAAAACAAAAGATTAGGGCAAGGCGTGGAGGCTCGCGCCTCTAATCCTAGCACTTTGAGAGGCAGAGGCGGGTGGATCACCTGAGGTCGGGAGTTTGAGACCAGTCTGGCCAACATGGCAAAACCCCATCTCTGTAAAACTTAGCCCAGCATGGCGGCGGGTGCCTGTAATCCCAGCTACTAGGAGGCTGAGGTCTGAGGATCCCTTGAACCCTGGGGGTGGAGGCTGCAGTCAGCTGAGATCACACCACTGCACTCCAGGGTAGGGAGAAGAGTAAAACTCCATCTAAAAAAAAAAAAGGCCAAGCTTGGTGGCTCAGGCCTGTAATCCCAGCACTTTGGGAGGTCGAGGTGGACGGATCACGAGGTCAAGAGATAGAGATCATCCTGGCCAACATGGTGAAACCCCATCTCTACTAAAAGTACAAAAATTAGCTGGGCATGGTAGCATGTGCCTGTAGTCCCAGCTACTCGGGAGGGAGGCTGAGGTAGAAGAATCGTTTGAACCTGGGAGGCTGAGGTCGTGCCACTGCACTCCAGCCTGGGGACACAGTAGGACTCCATCTCAAAAAAAAAAAAAAAAGAAAAGGAAAGAAAAGGAAAGTAAGAGATTATAATACCACAATGGATTCTTCACACAGAGTATGCTATCCCTCGTCTGAAGATTTTCCAGCATATGGCAGATTCTCTTTGCTTTTGATCTCAACTGAGATTGGAAATGTCGAACTTAGTGTCATTTGAAGGAATTACTGCAATGCAGTGGTTCTCAAAGTTGGCTGTGCACTATAATCACCTGGGAAGCTTTCATAAATCCCAGCTGTCCAGACCACGCCATGGGCCAACTATGTGGGTGCAATCCTGATGTTTACCATGTGCAAAGAAGTTTGAAAATGACTGAAATAGGTAACAGTGTGGACTCTGAAGTCAAATTGCCTCACTTCAAATTCCAAGTCAGCCACTTCCGAGCCATGTGACTCTGGGCCAGATATTCGACTTCTATGAACTCTGTCAGAAAAAAAGATGATAAAAATAACATATTCTTGTAGGATTGCTATGAGGTTTAAACAAGATAATCTATGTAAACTATTCATTAGGTTGATACAAAAGTAATCACAATGTTTGCCATTACTTTTAATGGCAAATTGTAATTAAAACCATTATTTTTAATGGCAAACACTGTGATTACATTTGCACCAACCTAACACAACAGGGCAGGCATAATGTGAATTCTAAAGGCTGGGCACAGTGACACTTTGGGAGGCCAAGGGGTGTGGAAGATTATTAACAATTTTCACAAGTTCAAGACCAGCCTAAGCAACACAGTGAAACCTCCTCCCCACAAACAAATAAAAAAATTAGCCTAGTGTGGTGGTGCTTGCCTGTAATCCCAGCTACTGAAGTCAGAGCATTGCTTGATCCTGGGAGATGGAGCCTACAGTGAGCTGTTATCATGCCCCTGCACTCCAGGCTGGGTCACAGAGTCAAGACTTTGAAATCTGGCACTAGACAAGGATGCCCTCTCTCATCACTCCTATTCAATATAGTACTGGAAGTTCTAGCCAGAGCGATCAGGCAAGAAAAAGAAATAAAGGGTATTCAGTTAAGAAAGGAGGAAGTCAAATTGTCTCTATTTGCAGAAGACATGATAGTATATTTAGAAGACCCCATCATCTCAGCCCAAAATGTCCTGAAACTTATAAGCAACTTCAGCAAAGTCTCAGGATACAAAATCAATGTGCAGAAACCACAAGCATTCCTATACACAAATAACAGACTTAAAGAGAGCCAAATCAAGAACTAACTGCCATTCACAATTGCTACAAAGAGAATAAAATACCTAGCAATACAACTAACAAAGAATGTAAAGGACCTCTTCAAGGAGAACTAAAAACCACTGCTCAACGAAATAAGAGAGGACACAAACAGATGGAGAAACATTCCATGTTCATGGTTAGGAAGAATCAATATTGTGAAAATGGCCATACTGCCCAAAGTAATTTATAGATTCAACGCTATCCCCATCAAGCTACCAATGATCTTCTTCACAAAACTGGAAAAAAACACCTTAAACTTCATATGGAACCAAAAGAGAGCCCACATAGCCAAGTCAATTCTAAGCAAAAAGAACGCAGTGGGAGGCATCACAATACCGGACTTCAAACTATACTACAAGGCTACAGTAATCAAAACAGCATGGTACTGGTTCCAAAACAGAGATATAGACCAATGGAACAGAACAGAAGCCTCAGAGGCAATGCCACACATCTGCAACTATCTGATCTTTGACAAACATGACAAAAACAAGCAATGGGGAAAGGATTTCCTGTTTAATAAATGGTGTTGGGAAAACTGGCTAGCAATGTGCAGAAAGCAGAAACTGGGCCCCTTCCTGACACCTTACACTAAAATTAACTCCAGATGGATTAAAGACTTAAACATAACACCTAACACCATAAAAACCCTAGAAGAAAACCTAGGCAAAACCATCCAGGACATAGGCATAGGCAAGGACTTCATGACTAAAACACCAAAAGAATTGGCAACAAAAGCCAAAATAGACAAATGGGACCTAATTAAACTCCAGAGCTTCTGCACAGCAAAAGAAACAATCATTAGAGTGAATTGGCAACTAACAGAATGGGAAAATTTTTTTGCAATCTACCCATCTGACAAAGGGCTAATATCCAGAATCTACAAAGAACTAAAACAGATGTACAAGCAAAAAAACAAACAAGCCCATTCAAAAGTGGGCAAAGGATATGAACAGACACTTTACAAAAGAAGGCAGACACTTTACAATATGAGGCCAACAAACTTATGAAAAAATGCTCAACATCACTCATCATTAGAGAAATGCAAATCAAAACTACATTGAGATACCATCTCACGCCAGTTAGAATGGTGATCATTAAAAAAACCTAGACACAACAGATGCTGGAAAGGATGTGGAGAAATAGGAACACTTTTACACTGTTGGTGGGAGTGTAAATTAGTTCAACCATTGTGGAAGACAGTGTGGTGATTCCTCAAGGACCTAGAAATAGAAATTTCATTTGACCCAGCAATCCCATTACCGGGTATATATCCAAAGGATTATAAATCATTCTACTGTAAGGACACATGCACATGAGTGTTCATTGCAGCACAGTTTACAATAGCAAAGACCTGGAACCAACCCAAATGCCCATCGATGATAGACTGGAGAGGGAAAATGTGGCACATATACACCATGGAGTACTATGCAGCCATAAAAAATGATAAGTTCATGTCCTTTGTAGGGACATGGATGAACCTGGAAACCATCATTCTCAGCAAACTGACACATGAACAGAAAATAAAACACAGCATGTTCTCACTCATAGGCGGGTGTCGAATAATGAGAACACATGGACACAGGGAGGGGAGCATCACACATTGAGGACTGTTGGCAGGGGCTAAGGGAGGGACAGGGGGCTGTGGGTGGTTGGGAGAAATAGCATGGGGAGAAACGCCAGATATAGGTGATGGGGAGGAAGGCAGCAAATCACACTGCCACGTGTGTACCTATGCAACAATCTTGCATGTTCTTCACATGTACCCCAAAACCTAAAACACAATAAAATATATATATATTCTTTATATATAAACTTCTTTATATATATATGTTCTATGGTAATTATTATTAACTAACAGCTTTCTTATTTCATATTAATTACTCTGCAAGACACTCCGAGCCATGGTTCCCCCATCTGACACTCATTCACCTAGTGGATGTTTTTGCTCTATAACATTCCTTCATTAATGCACAAATTCATTCTACAAGTGTGTATTCATTTAACATTGACTTAACGAGTGTGATAGAAGACACAAAAGAAAATATGCACATCTGCCTTACCTCCCTTGGAGCTTATCTTCTCTCGTGTGTCGGTGTTTTCCGGTTCAGATCATAAGCATGACGAGCTAAGGGACCATGTTTTATGCCCGGACAGCCCCAGCACCCAGCGCTGCAGATTGGAGACACTGCTAGGCACCCGGGTGGGAAGCCTGGGTTCTAGTTCTTGTTCTGCCGCCTCCAGACGGAGTAACAGGGAGCAATCCGGTTGTCCTCAGTAGATGTGTTTCCTCATCTGAAAGTGTACCCAATCCATCCATGACTGCTGTGACGATTACAGGTCTTAACGCGCATGTGGATTTGTCTTGCAAACGTCCACGACCAGGCCCCCGGGAAACAGTGCCGCGCGTGGCCACCAAGGGGCAGCAGATCGCAGTGCAGAGGCCCGCGGCGCTCGACGTCAGGGCGCACGCCCGACCCCGTGACCGTGACTGTGACCGTGACCGAGGGCGTCGCTGGGGCACAGCCGGGCGGCGCCGCGGGAGTGCGCAGGACCCGCCATGGGGGCCGAAGCCTCGGGGAGCCGGCCGGAGCTGCAGGAGCTCATGCGCGAGGCGGAGATCAGCCTGCTCGAGTGCAAGGTGTGCTTTGAGAGGTTTGGCCACCGGCAGCAGCGGCGCCCGCGCAACCTGTCCTGCGGCCACGTGGTCTGCCTGGCCTGCGTGGCCGCCCTGGCGCACCCGCGCACGCTGGCCCTCGAGTGCCCATTCTGCAGGCGAGCCTGCCGGGGCTGCGACACCAGCGACTGCTTGCCGGTGCTGCACCTCATAGAGCTCCTGGGCTCGGCGCTTCGCCAGTCCCCTGCCGCCCACCGCGCCGCCCCCAGCGCCCCCGGAGCCCTCACCTGCCACCACGCCTTCGGTGGCTGGGGGACTCTGGTCAACCCTACCGGACTGGCGCTTTGTCCCAAGACGGGGCGGGTCGTGGTGGTGCACGACGGCAAGAGGCGTGTCAAGATTTTTGACTCCGGGGGAGGATGCGCGCATCAGTTTGGAGAGAAGGGGGACGCTGCCCAAGACATTAGGTACCCTGTGGATGTCACCGTCACCAACGACTGCCATGTGGTTGTCACTGACGCGGGAGATCGCTCCATCAAAGTGTTTGATTTTTTTGGCCAGATCAAGCTTGTCATTGGAGGCCAATTCTCCTTACCATGGGGTGTGGAGACCACCCCTCAGAATGGGATTGTGGTAACTGATGCGGAGGTAGGGTCCCTGCACCTTCTGGATGTCGACTTCCCCGAAGGGGTCCTTCGGAGAACTGAAAGGTTGCAAGCTCATCTGTGCAATCCCCGTGGGGTGGCAGTGTCTTGGCTCACCGGGGCCATTGCAGTCCTGGAGCACCCCCTGGCCCTGGGGAGTGGGGTCTGCAGCACCAGGGTGAAAGTGTTTAGCTCAAGTATGCAGCTCGTTAGCCAGGTGGATACCTTTGGGCTGAGCCTCTACTTTCCCTCCAAAATAACTGCCTCAGCTGTAACCTTTGATCACCAGGGAAATGTGATTGTTGCAGATACATCTGGTCCAGCTGTCCTTTGCTTAGGAAAACCTGAGGAGTTTCCAGTACCAAAGCCCATGGTCACTCATGGTCTTTCTCATCCTGTGGCTCTTACCTTCACCAAGGAGAATTCTCTTCTTGTGCTGGACACAGCATCTCACTCTATAAAAGTCTACAAAGTTGACTGGGGGTGATGGGCTGGGTGGGGCCTTGGAATCAAAAGCACTAGTGCTGCCATTAATGAATTGTTTAACCCTGGAAAAGTCACTTAAACTCATCTATCCAAAGAGGGATAATTAAAACTGTCTGGCAGACTTACAAAGCTGGAGACAATTATTAGAGATTAAGCTACCATTTATTGAATGGATACTCTGTGCAAGGAAATTTGCAAATATTAGTTTATTTAATCCATGCTACCCAGTGAGGTAATTTTTTTTTTTTTTTTTTCTGAGATAGAGTTAAGCTCTGTCACCCAGGTTGGAGGGCAGTAACATGATCACGGCTCACTACAGTTTCAACTTCCCTGGGTCAGGTGATCCTTCCACCTCAGGCTTCCAAGTAGCTGAGACCAAAGGCGTGCACTACCACACCCAGCCAATTTTTGTATTTTAGTAAAGGTGGGGTTTTACCCTGTTGCCCAGGCTGGTCTCAAACTCCTGAGCTCAGGCAATCCACCTTCCTCGGTCTCCCAAAGTACTAAGAGTACAGGCATAGCCACCTTGCACAGCCATAATTTTTATTAGTAATCTCCTTGTACAAGTGAGAAAACTGAGACCCAGAGAGCTTACGTGACTTCCCCAGGCCACAGTTACTTACTACAGTAGTCACAATTTGAATTCAATTCTGACTTCAAATAAATTGCCCTTAAATAAGATAACAGATGCGGGGAAAATGCGTAAATGTATAGTGTTGCTATATGTACTCTCTTTACAAGTAGCTAATTATTCTATCACGAGGATGTGCAAAGAGAGAGACTTTACGGAGAGTTCAGGAGAAAAAGGATTTTGTGGTGGGCATCACTTTCATTCCGCTTGCAAGTGCTCTGATGGCACATTAGATGAAGTTACTATTGATCCTGAGATACATGAATAAGAAAAACAATCGAACTACTTATTAAAAAGATAAACATGTCTTTTAATGCCTATATCTTCTCTACTATACAAACTCAGAAAATACCACTTGGTTGTTTGAGAAAGGCCTATTTTTGTTGTTGTTGTTGTTGTTGTTGTTTGTGTTGGTGGTGGTGGTGATGTGTGTGTGTGTGTGTGGGTGAGACAGAGTCTTTCTCTGTCGCCCAGGCTGGTGTGCAGTGGTGCGATCTTGGCTCACTGCAACCTTTACCTCTTGGGTTCAAGCAATTCTCTGCCTCAGCCTCCTGAGTAGCTGGGATTACAGGCACCTGTCACCATGCCCAGCTTAATTTTTTTTTTTTTTTTTTGTATTTTTAGTAGAAACAACGTTCACCATTTTGGCCAGCCTGGTCTTGAACTCCTGACCTCATGATCCACACACATTGGCCTCCCAAACTGCTGGGATTACCGGCATGAGCCACAGCACCCAGCCTAGGCCTATATTATTGCAGAACACTCTACATACTAGTGTCATATGTCCCTGTTACCTGTTTATGTTACACGTTTATGGGTTGTTTGTTTCTAGACATGGTCTTGCTCTGTCACCTGGAGTACAGTGATCACTGCTCACTACAGCCTTGACTCCCTGGGCTCAAATGATCCTCCTGCCTCAGCATCCCGAGTAGCTGGGACTACAGGTGTCTGTCACCATGCCCAGCTAATTTTTAAATTTTTCGTAGGGATGGGATCTTGCTTTATTGTCCAAACTAGTTTCAAGCTCCTGGGCTCAAACAATCCTCCTACCTTGGCCTCCCAAAGCAATGAGACTATAGGAATCAGCCACTGCGCCTGGCCCACGTAAAGTAACAGTAAGAGCCTAACTCCCATCCAGTCCACAAGAACCCGTTTTGTTGTCAGTGCTCTCATCCTATAGCACTAATAGTAAGATTTGGGGCACCCTAGACCACGATTTATAAATGCATTCCAAACAGAAGTTCTATGGGCAAACCCCTTCTCCCCACATGCACACACCCCACCCTTAGAAGTCACCCCTAGGTTGGTGACTTGGCAGGTATTCTGAACAGATAACGAGAAACGTTGATACAGGTGGAGACGTGAATGCAGGCTTATCTGGTCATTTGTGAGCAGAGCAACTGAGGATAGAGCTTGGGCCATCTTCCTTGGGAACAATGACATTTTAATGATTTTAGGATTAGTAGAGCCAATTCAAGAGATTTTTCTCTTTGGAATTATCAATGGCATCATCTCTGACTATAAAGCTGACCACGTGTCCTTTTCAGACAGCAGTCATGATAAAGGTGTAGAATGGACGACACATGAGGTATGTGAGCCAGGGAGTGTTGCTGGTTATCGTGTGGATCACCCGACATGAAGAATCAGGTGTACATCTGGGAGACCATGTGGGAGTGTATCAAACCTGTGATAGCAAGCGACCTGAGTAACTGCCACCTTTCCTTGGTAGATTATCAGGCTTGGGATGGGGTGGGGCTGGATACGCCACATAAAAAGAACTGTATATAGCAGCTCTTCCCAGGAATGTCATAAGACAGGAGCAGAGTTTCCTTGAGGAAGACACGAAGCTTGCTTTTCTTGATTCTCAAGCACACACACACTGAGGTAATAGTTCCAGTGGCCTGTAAGGCAGATGCAAAATTCATCTTCCAGACTGTGTTCTTTGTTTTTGAGCTGCGGTCTGGCTCTGTTGCCCAGGCTGGAGTGCAATGGTGCGATCTCAGCTCACTGCAACCTCCACTTCACAGGTTCAAGCGATTCTCCTGCCTCAGCCTCCCCAGTAACTGGGATTACAGGCACCCACGACCATGCCAAGCTACTTTTTGTAGACAGAATTTCACTATGATGGCCAGGCTGGTCTTGAACTCCTGACCTCAAGTGATCCACCTGCCTTAGCATCCCAAAGTGTTGGGATTACAGGCATGAGCCACAGTCCCCTGCCAGACTGTGTTCTTTAAAGCAAGCTGGTTAAAGAGCTTGAGCTATGTCATGCTGAACTCCAGGTTATTAAAGAAATTGGAGAATTCTGAGTCAGGCAGGAAAAAATAATCCCAGCAGAAAGTAAAAGCTTCCAAGGTGATGAAGAAGGGTTGGAATGACTCTCAGAGGTTGAAACAAAAGAACGTGCCACGGAGCAAAGGGAGAAGGAAAAGGAAATAGGCTCTTCCAGCATATCCCCCACGCACTGCCTGGTGAGTCTATAAGAGAAACACAGACATTACGGCGCCTGGGTCAGCAGTTCTCGCCTCACCCTCCATCTGTTCCAGTTTTGCCCAATTCCCGATCCTTGGATTGTCTCCTGCTTTTGTCATTGTTCTGTCCTCTGGCTTGCCACCTGGACTTGGCTTCTCAATCTCTTTCCTTGGCATTTTGTTAAGACCTTGGTTCACACTCATAAATCTCCCCTCTAGCAAATCTAGCTCTGGATCCCAGGACCCAAACCATCACCATTTTGCTATTGCCTTATGCAGACCCTCCCTGGGCCCCAACTAAGTAGGGTGCAGATCCCACCTAAAGTGAATTATAAAACTTCTGGGGAAGGAGCATTAACCTGTGCACCTCAGATAAATGAGGAAGAACAACTGATGATAGCAGATTTAATAATCCTGACACCTGCCAGAGAAGGAGAACTATACACTGGTGTTAGTGTTCCACTGCAGAGATACGCCATGGGGGTGTAC